TGACTTTACCTAGTAGCACCCTGGATTATGCATTTATATTAAACTCTTCATCATTATCATTTAAATTATATCTGGACACATTGAACTTTTTATTGCCTCCTTACAAACTTCGTTGGATTTAAATAAAACTGTTTATTGATAAAAAGAACTCTGTTTCTTGGGATTGAACTTTTATTAGCACGCTACCTTTAGACTCAAAAACCGCTACAATATTTCAAAATTCCTTCAATTATAAACTTTTCTTTTAAAAAACTCTCCAGCAGGAGAAAAGCATTTTTTTAAATGCAGCCTGCACCCCCAACCCTTTTCTCTAATATAACTGTCCGGCCAGTACAACATCAGGCATATCAGTGATGTTCATGATAGTTAGCTCATACTGATGTTTTACAACAATTCGAACAGTGCCATTTGACCTATTATATTTCACATAAAGTTATGATTGTCAGCAAAAAGAGAATTTTTTACTTACAGTTTCAAAATCATGCCATGTGTCGGTGGTGTCCAGTCCACTATGAGCAGGGGTATGGAATTCCACTATATTCCCTCTTATCTGGACATTCTCTAAATGCAGAACACCATAGTCCTCCATCTTCAAATTGTAGTTCTAAAATAGACAGCAATCTATATTATAAAAACTTAAAAAAGAATATTTTATCCTATCAAAAATAACTACATCTGTATCAAACAAAAAATCAATATTTTAATATAATAAGCATAATATTATATGATCTACAGCAAGGGTAACTTGGCCTATTTGAACTAAGATATGAACCATGATGCAGGGATATAATTATACATAGGATTACCCTATTTAAAATATTTTATTTCTCACCAGTTACATACATGCCTGTCAAAAATTAATTATGAAATGGAAAGGGGACGCCACAGAGAAATGAACAGTAAAAAAATTGTAAAAGAAAACACAAAATAAAGGAAAATGCCAACATTCTCCATTATAATATTTTTTTTAAAAAAATGGGGAAAATGATTTATTACTGATTATGGTTTATACATCTATTACTTTTAAGTGCATCATCCCTTTTAAACTGAGCACTATGCCCAGTACAAGTGCCAGTAACAATGCCACAACGGCAGCCACGGTAAATGCTATCACTGCACGACTGCATTGCGGGCACTTGCCACATCTCAGCGGCTCCAGGCTCAACTCCTTCCGCAGACGTTCCACCTGAAAAATAATAATAACAACAAAACATTCCGATTAATGATTGTTAATTCAAAACTAACAAGCAACAGTATGGGTTTTAAAAAATCCAGTGCGATTCGTTTCGTAAATCTACGTACATTTCGCGTAGGCCTTCAAGGTTTTTAATGGATTTGACCCGTGTAACAATCAACCACAAACCATGTAACATTAAACGTATGTTGAACTATACTTTTGTATTACAAGACAATGAATGAACACATTTGATTATGATACATGCCTTAATCTGTTGATCATCCTCCGACTCCTCATATGCCAACACCGGGAATACATCTCCTGGATTAGCCGTCACTTCTCCAGTCGCCATCGCTGTCTCTAAGAATCTCGGATATTAAACCCAAACAGGTGAGATAATTACAAAACCACCTGCTGATCCTACAGCGTTGACACAATCCCTGTGATATACAGTGTAGAATTGTATCAAATTAGCTCGTTTTAAGTTATGTTGCCATAAGTCCCCAGGTACATATCGGTATTACACAATTACAGGTGAGTCGAAGATATCATAAAGGTGTGCTTGTTTTACACCTGCCAATAATGGCGACTTGAGTCAGCGACACTTCCGTTCATATTAAGATGTTGATGTGTACACACAGTAGCCGCAAGGTGAAGGCCGCTGTCAGTAGAATGTATGCAACAGGTATCCGGGGTACATATGACATGGTCATTATTGTCCAGCACGGCGGGGGACGTTCTTGATAAGATTGGATTAGAAACTACTGACAGCTTATAGTGGGCAATCATGTCAGTGGTTTAAACAGACTACGTCGCCCGTTATTACTATTCCATAATTTTAATTACCCTACTTTTACAGTGATTTTTTAAATTTTATTTTATTTTATTTATTTATTTATTTTTTTTTTAATCTCACAAATAAATTCAAATGATAAATATTAGAGATCGTATAAATAATTACAGTAACGCATCAAACTTAGGAATCATTCTACGAAGGTAGCTCCAACTCCGCAATCAGATAAACACGCCTCCTGGCTCGAGTACTAGTAGTATACAGAAAAAACTGGCAATTATTACGTTGGAAACGTGAGTTTAAACTAGGGTCCATACGATGTGTTCCCATTATGTTGCCATCATTGTGCATTTTACTGTAGTGAAGTTATGAGTTATATTTAACTTACAGGAGACTCGTGGCTCCGTGCAATCACAATCAAAATGTTCAGACAGTTGTTTTACTGATTTTGTTGATATCACCTGCGGATCACTATAAAAATATTGCAACGTCCCCTTCTATTTCTGGAAACCCTGTATCCGTCATTGATGAATTAATACCATTTTAATGCTTTGGAAACTTTGAAGATCCATAACATCACATTCAAGCTTTCGGTCTCTTTGGAAACTTTATAAAATAAATAAAAGACGTAAATCTAGATCATTTTAAATTATAACTCTCTGTCTAGAATTTTAATTACTTTTTAATGAACATGATAAAATTGATAAATTATTTATAATTAAGTAGGCCTAAAGTTATTTATATATTTTTGTTTTCTTTTAGTTTTACTTGCATTTTATACTTTATATTTGTATTGTCTGTTGCTTATCATCATCATTATTATTATTATTATTGTTGTTGTTGTTGTTTTTGTTGTTGTTGTTGTCGTCGTCGTCGTTTTTGGCAGGTGGGGGTAGAAAATTAGCCTACGAGTATGTTTTTACATAAAGGGTAGGCTACCCTACATGGTATTAAAACCTTGATCCAAATATCACTGTTTTTAATTCTAGAGTGCATCGCACTGTAATGGAATATTTCTTGAGACAAAGAGATAAATTTCGTCTGCAACTCTGTCATTAGGGCCCATGTCATTCAAAAGGTTTTCAAATGCAGTGGAAATGTCACCACATCCACACAAAAATAACTATAGAATTGAAAAGATCAAGTATTTTGTTAGACCTCCTTTGGTGAGAAACTAACGAGTAACATCCACCAGGAACGACAAGAAAGGGTTGATTGCGCTCATGGAACTACTAACACATTCAATCTTCACCGGAAACATTGCAGTGTCATGGCGGAAAACAAAACAAACAGTGGTACTTATTGCCAGGCACAATTTACGGTCTCTTTTTCGTATATACTTCGAAGGATGTAGCCGACTGATATAAAGCAGGATTCAGCAAGACAGGACCGGCATTATAATGGATAAACTTAGCATTATATCCGGGGCTCTGTTTCTGGTAGCCGATCTATTTGCGATAGCGAGTTTGTCAATGCCAATGTGGTTGGTGTCGGATGTCGGAGGTAGTATTTAATTTATCGTTCATATTTTCTGCAAATACTCTCCACCCACTTTGTGATTTCCNCCCCCCCCCCCTTACAACGTGACGTACGGAAACCTCAATAAATCTGCCTCATTTGAACTATTTATTCATCATAGACTCTAAAAAATCAATTTGATAAATTTGCCCCGTGGCGGGGCAAGTTGGCCCCCTTGATGTCAACTGCGTCTTTTGTCAAATTGTGAGCCATCTGGCATTATATTTGAAAAATAATGACGTTGTATACGTAGCTTAGTTCATGGGGCTTACTTTGAAACCGGTTTTGTTACTCTAACCCATTCCTAGTTGGCTCTACGAGGCCAAAAGTGTCTAACTGGGCCAACTAGCCCCGGTCTCCCCTACCATTCCATAATTTTAATTACCCTACTTTTACAGTGATTTTTTAAATTTTATTTTATTTTATTTTTTTATTTATTATTATTTTTTTTAATCTCACAAATAAATTCAAATGATAAATATTAGAGATCGTATAAATAATTACAGTAACGCATCAAACTTAGGAATCATTCTACGAAGGTAGCTCCAACTCCGCAATCAGATTAAATGATAAACACGCCTCCTGGCTCGAGTAGTATACAGAAAAACTGGCAATTATTACGTTGGAAACGTGAGTGTAAAACTAGGGTCCATACGATGTGTTCCCATTATGTTGCCATCATTGTGCATTTTACTGTAGTGAAGTTACATGTATGAGTTATATTTAACTTACAGGAGACTCGTGGCTCCGTGCAATCACAATCAAAATGTTCAGACAGTTGTTTTACTGATTTTGTTGATATCACCTGCGGATCACTATAAAAATATTGCAACGTCCCCTTCTATTTCTGGAAACCCTGTATCCGTCATTGATGAATTAATACCATTTTAATGCTTTGGAAACTTTGAAGATCCATAACATCACATTCAAGCTTTCGGTCTCTTTGGAAACTTTATAAAATAAATAAAAGACGTAAATCTAGATCATTTTAAATTATAACTCTCTGTCTAGAATTTTAATTACTTTTTAATGAACATGATAAAATTGATAAATTATTTATAATTAAGTAGGCCTAAATCTATTTATATATTTTTGTTTTCTTTTAGTTTTACTTGCATTTTATACTTCATATTTGTATTGTCTGTTGCTTATCATCATCATCATTATTATTATTATTATTATTATTATTATTATTATTATTATTATTATTATTATTGTTGTTGTTTTTTTTTTTTTGTTGTTGTTGTTGTTGTCGTCGTCGTCGTCGTCGTTTTTGGCAGGTGGGGGTAGAAAATTAGCCTACGAGTATGTTTTTACATAAAGGGTAGGCTACCCTACATGGTATTAAAACTTTGATCCAAATATCACTGTTTTTAATTCTAGAGTGCATCGCACTGTAATGGAATATTTCTTGAGACGAAGAGAGAAATTTCGTCTGCAACTCTGTAAACTTGAAAGAGCACTGAAGCAAGCATAGCCTGAACAGGCCTTCTGTAGGCTACCTATAGTGGGTTCTGGCAATAGTACTAAAATCGTCATTAGGGCCCATGTCATTCAAAAGGTTTTCAAATGCAGTGGAAATGTCACCACATCCACACAAAAATAACTATAGAATTGAAAAGATCAAGTATATTGTTAGACCTCCTTTGGTGAGAAACTAACGAGTAACATCCACTGCCAGGAACGACAAGAAAGGGTTGATTGCGCTCATGGAACTACTAACACAATTCAATCTTCACCGGAAACATTGCAGTGTCATGGCGGAAAACAAAACAAACAGTGGTACTTATTGCCAGGCACAATTTATGGTCTCTTTTTCGTATATATTCGAAGGATGTAGCCGACTGATATAAAGCAGGATTCAGCAAGACAGGACCGGCATTATAATGGATAAACTTAGCATTATATCCGGGGCTCTGTTTCTGGTAGCCGATCTATTTGCGATAGCGAGTTTGTCAATGCCAATGTGGTTGGTGTCGGATGTCGGAGGTAGTATTTAATTTACCGTTCATATTTTCTGCAAATACTCTCCACCCACTTCGTGATTCCCACAAACATATAAACCACAACCTCTTCTAAATTATAATTGCAATGATGCAGTTAAAAGTTGCCACATAATCTGTATCAGATATATATGCACTTTAATTTTTAGTATCAGGTGCCCCCCCAACCTATAAGCCTTTAATTTTCACTGTTTTACTCAATAATTTTATCTCAGAAACATCACTGACAGAAAAAAAGACATTGAAAATCAAAACAGACTAATAGGTTGGGGGGGGGGGGGGACGAATACTAGTATTACAGTTGTAGTAGAACTGAAGTCATAGTAAGTCATAATATCATATACATTTTGCTGAATTCTAGGTTATACAAGTATTGGTCTACTCCAGACATGCATAGAGATGTACTATGAAAGTGAAAATGATAACATGCGCTGTTTTACACCACATCCGCTGAGGTTTGAGTGGGTGTTGACATTCATCCTCATAGTTTTGGGTATACTGTTTGTCAGTGCCACTGTTGTGCTACATGCTGTCTCCTACTGGAAAGAGGCAGTAATTAAAGTTGCACGATGGCTCGGATTTGTTGGAAGTAAGTGGTTTGATATATGTTATGTTGGTTTACATAAGGTTTTTTGCTTTTTTTCTTGTTTTTTAAATTCTATTTTCACTAAGCTTACATCTCAAGATTTTGCCTCTCATTTTTTGTGCTGATAAGTAATTGCATGCAACCAATCTCTTTTCTACTTATTTTTCTTTGTAATATTTTAAAATTCAACTTAAAATATAGTAAGCTCACCTGTTGATTATAATGTTTTTAAATAATTCTTATCAAAGTAAGAAAACTCACTAAAGATGAACTATTGTGAGATTGGACATTTTATAGGTAACAGTTTTTAAAAGTTGAAACATGCATATTAATTTAAATATAAATGGAACCTAAGAGTTGTTTAACGTTGGTCTCTGCACAAGATGTGGAATGCTGTCATGAATTTTTACTTGTTTTTCAGTGTTACTTTTCTGCAATGCTGCAATAATATTCCCAGTGGCCTTTGATATGGCTCAGGTTGGAGGAAAGGCTTTCCACCTTCCAAACAATTTCCAAGTTGGAATCTCATACATATTCTTTGTATTAGCTTTATGGATAACTGTGATATCAGAACTGTTTGCTGGAAAAGTATGTTTACCTAGATTTTGATAAAACGTGTACTTTTATTGTAGAAATATTTGTATCAGAACTGTTTGCACTTCTTTGATTTCCTGCATAGGAAGAAGTTCTATATAATATTGTCTCGTGATAATTTATCTTCAGCTTACCAATAGCCATCAAGAACATTGTGCAGGGTTTTGAGCTCTTTGTGGTCATAAGTTAATTCCAAGTGTACTTGTTTCTTAACTACAAAGGCCAGTGCCAATTTATACAAGGGACTAATATCAGTCACTTTTTGCTTAATTGGCTTTTATTGTGTGGCTGTCCGTAATGGTATCACAATACTGGAATCAGAGTTTGTCACATCTTAACAGGTGCATTTTAAATGAAAAAGTTGAGTATTACAATAATATGAACATTATGAAGAGTTAAATATTGATTTTTTTTATTTATCCAATGATTTTTATTTCACTAAATATCAGTATACCCAAGGTAAAGATGTATATTTTAAAGATTATAAATAGATTTATAAAAGGGGATTTATTTTGACTCTTGTATTCCAATTGCACAAAGAGTCTCAGAGAACGGTGCCCCCACACCTCTTTCTATTATGAATATAACCTTGCTTTTCAAAATATAGGTACGTGATGTATATTTTATATGTATATTGGATATTGATTTTGTTTTCAATACCATCATGCTCTTGCATGTGTATAATGGCACTGTAAGCAGGAGTAGTGAAATACACTGCCACTTGATTACTGTTGGGTGTCTAAGTACTTTTGAGTATCAAATTATAAATATAATTGGATGCCTGCTATTTTATTTGCCTGATAAAAGGTAGTTTATGTTGTAACTTTTTTTGTACATGGAGTATTTGTCTACCTGATTTTTTGCAAAATGAGTAGTAGTTCTCATTCCTATTTTGTAAGAAATGTTATCAACTGTAAGATGAACAAATAGGCATTTTATCTTTTTTTTTTCAACATGTGATAATTATTTTTCTTTGAACATTTAATATATATATATATATATATATATATATATATATATATATATATATATATATATATATCTTAAATGGGCATTTTTGGGGTACATTACAGCAAATGTATTACACAAGGATGTTCATCATTATAATTTCTTTAAGTTTTCTACACATGTCCTTGAGTGGCAGGATAGTCACTCTGTGGTAAATAGTGAAAAATTCTAAATAATCACTATGTATCTTATAGAAATTCAGCTTATGTTGAACAGGACAATCATGATTTCCTTTGCACCTTGTATAAAGAGTTTAAAGTGAAAAAAGTGCTTGTTTAATAAGCAATAAACTGATTTTTTTCATTAATGACACATTTCATTTTTTAAGTGAAGGAGGAAAGTGACTCATGATAATTTTTACTTATTTGCGTGCAGTCATTGTCTGTGCATTCTTATCAATAGGATTTGACGAGAGAAGGAGGAAGCAATCAACTGGATGTCACTTATGTTTACTAGTACATGTAACACGTTCTATCCAGGACCAGCAATTTTATGTAATACATATTACAATGTTATGCAGGTATATATTCTTTCAAAAAAAATATGAAAAATCTTTGATATATATATATAGAGAGACCGTACCATACCTTTGTAAAACAACAGGAACACCAGTTATGACTATTTGATCATCGCCACTTTTCTGCAGTGATAAAAATGCGCAAAAGATGACTGCAAATGAATGAAAATTATCATTTTAGTCCACCAGAAAGTGATGCTCTCCTTTAATGAGTTATTTGCTACCATGAAAATATTAGTTCATGACACGAAGCTTGAATACTTAATAATTGTTGGTTTTGATTTTACTTGACGTAAAAAAAAAAAAAATCAAATTTGGGCCCTCGATAGACTGTATAGTTCACGTCTATGAAATAATCAAGGCGTATATTGTATTTTACGGATGAATTTTAGATGTATTTACAAAGAAAGTAAAACATTTTCTATGCAGGATTTTTTTTTTTTGGGGGGGGGGGGTATCAATAAATGAATTAAAGTATTTTATGAGGGAAATATGCAGAATATATATAGCCTACATGTGTAGGTATCATAGGCCTACGTGCAGTTTTAATGTACGAATAAGAAATAGGAATGTAGTTTCAATTAAATACTATGCTTACTACGTTTCTTTTATGATCGGTATTGGCACACCGTTGCCATAGTGCAGAGGAAATAAAAAACTTGTGAGATCGCAGTGATGTCACATTGACCTCTGTCGACGGAAATAACCTTTGACACGATTTTCCGCAACTATGGCAGTGCAGCAAGGCTGTATCTATCTGCTCGACATTTCTGTCAGCAGCAAAGACCTTAACGTTCCACTGGTTGAGGCAATCGATTCAGTTATCAATGACAATAAGAGAGTAAAGCTACTTCTAGCTGTCAAGGTAAGTTGCACCAAGCTGAAAGTCTGCACGTTTTCAGTGACAGGAACTGAGGTAAGTAGTTCAGGGTACCGTAAGCGAGGACGCAACCTTGGGTAACTTTTATATCCGCTAAAACTACAATGTATATGTTTAAACACGCCCAAGCTTTTGGCATATTCGCTTTCTTCAGGGACTTCAATGTGATAGGAACAGTTGGTGACGTACGTGTAGTCCTGTCCTTCAAATGAATGGTCCCACATGAACACTCAGCGACTACATGTAGTACACGTTAGGCAGGTTAGGCTTCATAGGGAGTATCGGGGTCTAAATATGGGGCGATTGTCACCTGTACAAAGTATCCTGATTATTGTCGGCGTGTTGTTATAATGGGACAGGACCACGTACCTTCATGTCACATCAAAGAGTTGAACTGAATAATGGATCATGTAAAGCTGCATTCAGTCCAAGGACTTTGCGGTGACTATAGGCAGTGAATGTGACCAAGGCAGGGTCTCCTGATAAGGGCTGAGAAAGACCGTGCAATCAGTGCATGTTAAAATAAACACCTTGCAGTGTCTGAGCATGGAAATTTACTGGTATGTACATATACTTCCATGGGCATCTGCATGGGGGGGTCAATGGGGTCAATGACTTTGACCCTTCCTGGAAAATTTTCTGGGGACGCCCATGTATACTTCCAGGGGCAGATCCAGGATTATTTACGGATGCAAAGCCACCACCCCCCCTCCTCTTGGCGTGAGGTTTGGGGCCCCATGAAGTTCCCTGAAAAATTTTGGAATTTGAGAGTGCCATTTGGTACGGTTTATAACTATGATTCATCAAGTCAAAATTCTAATTTCAAGAGGGGACCATTATAGTGTGCGTGTGTGTGTGTGTGTTTTTCAGAAGGGAGGGGGGGGGGTCAGGACCTCCCTGACACTTCGCTAAATTCGCCACTGTACTTCTGTTGTCTGAGTAATGTGTAAGGCAAGACACTTTTAGGTTCTATACTTTCTTTGCAAAAAACTGAAAAACAACTTGATATAAAACTGGTTGGTATATATAATACATGTACCAGTATTGTGATCCATTATCATGTCAATTGTAATGTTCAGAGGCATTATTTGTCTTTAATTGGAGAAAAGGTATGTTCATTACATTTTTCTTATGTCATATTGACACTTTGAGGGTGAATGTGCTATTTTTGGTTTTTTTATATTCTCTACTACATTTTATCTTACAGACAGCAGTTTCAGCACTAGCATGTTGCCATATTCTTTCCAGGCCCATAGCCAGGGGGGAGGGGGGTTCGTTATGGGTAAAATTTGATCTAGGGACACAAAAGTTTTATTGTAAGATGCCCACTTTTTCAGAAAAAGAACCCCCTTTTGAAATTGCTGGCTACAGGCTTGCTTTCAAACTTCAAAGTGAACTATCTGGTAAAGACTATTGCTTAACACCTAACTATGCCTGTTAATATTAAACACCCACTGGTACTATACATTCTGTGCAATTACAGCTGTTTATCCCTTTTTAACAAATGTTGTATTTTAGGTGGTTGCTGAAGCAAGGTTTCTGTTTGGTAGGTAATTTTAAGCATTTTATTTTTTATTTTTTCTTGAATAAACTGATTGAACTCCTAGTCACCTAAATGATACCTCTATAGCCATTCTTGTAATTAACTTCTGTGCTCTAACTAAAAGTGGACAAGGATTTAATTGCACTACTTGGACTTATCATTTATAGATAAAGCTTGATCTGTTAATTAACACCATAACATAAGGCATTTATTAAATATTACCAGGTGGTATTTGATGTTCATATCCAAATCCGCTTTTCAGTCATCAGAGCAAAATCAACCAGCGACCCAGATGCCTTGGCGCACAGATTGTCACACAACATTACTGTTGACTACAACATATCCTGTACTGCACTGAGACCATATGAATCCTTTGCCAAGAATCTTCTGGGTGTAGATGATGCCTTGTGTGGACAAGCACCATATAAACTGTCACCTGGTGGACATCTGTACATGCTGAACTTTGAAGTTGAGTACAAAGGTAAACTTTCCAAATGTTTGTCTTTTTATGCTTCTGAAAACAAAAACGGTTAAAGAAGACCATATAAGAATAATAATAGGATGCTATTCAATGCCACATGTAAATACCAAACTTTTGTTGCATGTACTGGGAAATTTAGAGTTGTCAAGCAATTTTGTGTGTGTGTGTGTGTGCATGCGTGTGTGTGTCATGCTTGCAAACTTGCCATCTTTTAACTTTTTTTAATTGTGCATGGTGTCTGTATAGGGCCTATTTGTAGAGCTCTGTCTTGTATTTATAACAGTCATTGTGTTTATTATGATACCAGGCATGTCCCAGGACATTCTTATGAGAAACTGGAAAGAAGAGGCTCAGTTTGCACTCACCACACGCCAACAAGGGACAGAGCTTGAATTGTTTAAGGCAATGGGAGAACGGAAGGTGAACACTTTAACTTGTTCTTATCCTCATCTAGGGGTTATCTTATTCTTATCCATGGACAGGATGTCGAAATAAACATTGTCATGTTATGCTGTCACATAGAAAGTATATCAGGGTGAATTTGTAACAGTATAGCGTTTGGACGAGGGGGGGGGGGGTAATATGCTTGTTCAAGCTGGCGAGGTACGGTAACAGCAGTGTTTTGGGGGTGAAAACTAATTTGGCATTTTTACAGATCTCACTCACCTGAACAGTTACCAACAACATTTTAAAGCCTATACAATAACAATAATGGATAATGATAGTTTATCTGCAGTTACATTATTGTTAATATTATCTTATCTTTTCTAGATTGTGGCCTTCATAAATGTGAACACGCCAGAGCAGTTAGATGACATTGCGTGGAATCTGCCAATCATGAAAAGTATTGGGGACCAAGTTCATATTCTTTGCAAGTCTGTCCGACTATATTCCGATTACTTGCAGGACCTTCAAAGTAACTTTGCTGAATAAAAAACTTTGACATGAAAAAGGCCATTGTTTTATAGGTATTTTTATAAGAGGAAGTTGGCCATGTAATTACATATATAAAGCTTTATTTTGCTACCCAAGTGAATGCACGTCCAAGAATTTCCCAAAACTTTAATCTAAAAAAGCATATAGGGTAAATGGTTGATAGATGCTTGCTGCATTTAGGGTGCTTTATCTTAGGGCCCATTCCTATAGATGCCATTGCTCAACGTGGATCAACCCAACTCTGTGTGAACTCTTGCTGACTGCAATCAGCTTAACTAAAAGACATGCCTCCTGGCATTAAGTAGAATACAGCAAAAGCTGGTAATTACGATTAGTTGGAATCAAGAGTAAGCTTGTCTTTCATTTAAGCTGATTGTGCTTAGGGAGAGTCCCTGCAGAGTTGGGTCTATCCCTGTAGACCGATGGTGTCTGTGGGGATAGGGTCTTAGTCTTACATTAATTGTTATAAAGTACAATATATAATGGCGTTTTCCGACAGGGCCAATTGTATATTTCACACTTTATCTTATTTTTCATTTGTGCAATTTAAATTATGAGTAAAGTTTGTTATCATAAACTACCTTCTTGTACTTCCTTCCAATGTTGATACCTTTTTTACGTTTGTGATGCATTTATCGTGAAAAAACATCTTTTGAAGCTTTTTACGATCTCATAATACTTTAGAAAATTGCCAATGTGATTAATGTTTTTTTTCTCCTTTCATGGCAAATAAACAAACTCTATGACCAAAAAAGCGCACAAAGATTTTAAATGATAAAGTGTAAGATTTTTTAAACGTTAGGTTCACTAAGCGCTTGTTTAACTCTTCGTTATTATGTCCAAGTTTAACTTATTTTGGGACAGGTGATACTTTTTGATCATACTATTAAAAGCGATATGAAAATAGGCACGCAAAACGTGGGAAATTCACACTGCTTTGCAGTAGACAGTAATTTTGATTAAAAAAAAAAGAACCAGAAAAATAACTATGGATCCACGTTGAACCCTCGATCTATCTTTGTGACATCACTTCACAGCCGACTCCACTCCCAGATCCCGCGATTTTCAGCTACATGTCGCGAGACTCTGGCATGGCACAACAAACGTCCGCCATATTTAGTTCTCGGCTCTTCTCGATGTGAATGCGGCCTTAGAGAAATTGTCTTTCCCATCTGGCTCTGTTGATGAAAGTATATTATCGTTTCTCGACACGAAATAGCACTGTGTGAGTTTCTCGGACATGTTTCCAGTGCACTTAAGCTTAGTTCTGAGAAAAGCTGACAGAGGATCGCTGCTTTAAAGACGAGGAATGTTTAAATTTTCCTCTGATTCATCAGGGTGTATACAGTATATAAAGTGGTTGAGAAAGATTTTTTATTTTCTTTCAGTTCTAAAAAAACGAGTTCTTAATTTCAATTTTAAAGAGTGATCTTTACCAGACGCCATGCATCTTATTTAATAGAATGATACAAGAACTAGTAACCTCTATCTCCGCTGGCTATCCGACTCTCATCACGTGCAAAATAGTGCAAGATGAGAATGTTATAAGAATATCGATTCATTAATAGCACCTGTATTTGGCCTTGAATTCTGTCGCCCGAATTGAATTCTTTTGACACAAGCTTAACACGGCAGAGCAGCAAGGTTGCATTTGTTTTCTCTATATTTCTGTAACAGCAAAGACCTTAACTTTCCTCTGGCTAAGGCAAGTGGATGCAGTCTATTTAGTCTAGGTAAATACTCTGTGTTTGCGTCATCTTTTATTTCGGCTTTATATAGCAGTTTATGTATTGAAGCCTTGTTATAGTTCTGTTTCTGTGGTATGGTATTCAAAATGAAAAAAAAATCGTTATTTCATTTAAACACATGCACACGTGTATTATATTGCATATATTCTCCATAAATCACCGCACAAGAAAAAAACAAAAATCTACTTTCACAGGTGCTTATCAATTTTGTAGAATATACAGAGTAAATACAATGTATGCTAAGTGACTACATACATTTCTCCAGTTTACTTAATAACAATGATAATTTATTGAGCATTAAAATGTGTACAGTTACATTTTACAAGCTCTCTAAACTACAGTTTTACATAAATTGTGCACATAAGCTTAAATAAGTATAACTATTTTAGATCATTCAAATACCAAAATACATATAAGCTAACTACTTCATACATATAGCTCACAATAGTAGTAAGACACAATCTTTTAATACTGGACATAGTATTTTGTACAATATGCATTTGCTACTTAGGCATAACTGACTGTGTAAACTTGGCCACTGCTGATGCACTTGCACGACACTGTGGATTAAGAATTTGTATTATTTTGCTATCATCATCAGTGCCTGATAGACCGGAGAATCGTGACAGGGAATCAAACATTTTTTTACGCTCACGTTGATGCTGAGTGCAGATCAGGAGAAAGTGCTTTTCGTCTTCGATAACATTTTTGCAGTGTGGACAAAATCTTTCTTCCATTGGTGTTTTAGGAGATGTATGTCTCAACCTTTCAATTTGTAAATTGTGGTCACTAAGGCTGAGTTTTGATATTGCTATTTTGTAATGGGCTGGAATGTCGAGTTGCAGGTATTTTTAATGATAAAAACATAATAATCGGTTAAACACTGAAAATCTGCTTTAATGAACTCTCTACTCTAACATAAGTGGCCGTTCCAAAGAACAAAAACCATCCTTGATATTTAAAATGATAATTCGGTCTCGCTAACGCTTGGATGCTCTCTTGCTTTTTGACAAAAAAAAAAAAAAAAAAAAAAAAAAGGAAAGAAAAAAAAAACGTTTCTTTGACATACCAAAGACGTTAATAATTAAAGCATACTAAAATGGCACCATTTATATAATTATTCAAACTAGAAAGATTGGTTACGACTGGTGACATATTATATCGCCTTCTCGATTGCACAAGATTTTATGGTAGTTTGAAATGATGAACAGCTGCTAACTGTATCTAAACGCACAACGTACTTTTCTTAAAAAGGTTTTACGTTGTTGCTTATTGATTACACTGTATATATAAAGATATTTACACAATTTTACATGCCCTTGTCTTTTTCATTAAGTCTTAAAGCTGTACATACATAAAAATTTGGGACTTCTAACACTGATCATGACACACATTGTGGCTATTTCTCGTCGTACGCGCTTTTGATGACAGACATGATCACCGATAACGCTTTATCCCACGTGGCTCTTTCTGTGGGCCCAAACCTGCTGCTTCCCAACGAGTTCTCCAACCATGATAAAATCAATTCACAGAACTCCTGCAAGAACAGAGTAACTACACAATTAGTTTTTCATAGCTTTTTTTTCCGGAGTGTGTAGCTGATAAAATGCCGTAGTTGAGAAGGAAAACGCAATTTGGCATAGCCGCTATCTGCTAACTCGGATAATGTGCATTACTTTAGCCTAAACCTAAACTTTTGAGGGAAATTTTATTTACACAATTGGCTGATGGTCTATACTACAGTCAATGTTTCGTTTTCATTAGCACTATCTTTAACGGAAAATGACAGCACTAGTGAGGCTCTTCTAGTTGAGGTACATTGTAAAAGTTTACAATAAAACCTATCTACAGGATTCTCTCATTTCTCACTAAATGTAGTACCCCATCAGGCCCACACAAATAAATCTGAAATATACACAATCATTCACACATACACAAATAAACCCATCAACTCTTACCGGCCCAAACAAAGCAACAGGTATCCCTATTTTCTGGTGATTGGTGCCGATTTTCTTCAGCAGCGATACCAAGCAGTCGGCGTCGTCTAAGCTCTCTACGACACTCGTGAGGGAGTTAACAACTGTGGCACCATGGGCACGCAATACAAAGCTTTTTCGTAGTTCTTCGTTTGATTTGTCTTTGAGGGAACGAAAATATTTCTTTGTCTCTGGTATCTTCGTGAAAAGTCTGTGTGAAGAGAGAAAATAATGTTAAGACGATGGCAACTGCGGGACATACCCAGTAACAATAGATTGAGTAGAATGCCCCCCAATAAGTAAAATAAATAAAATGATATAATGGAGTTAGCATATACAGGATCAATTTTTATGTCCATTCTACTCTTAATATTTTGCTGGCGAGGAACAGGTCACTGTACTACTTTAAGTAATATTAAACTACGAAAACTGAAGACTAACTGGCTAGAAAAAAATGCCCCTTTTCATACAAATATATATTATTTCTATAGCTAATCCGATTCCCTGCAGCAAATGTCAAAGTAAAACTCTTCGTAGTTTCCATCACTATAGTGTGGTGTATTACCTCCTGTGATGGCACTTGTACTTATCAAGTTACAAATCCGCACAGGGCTAATCCTTATTTCATCACATTTGCTATAGAGTTCCAATGGGAAGCATACATCGTTGATACATAGGCCGCATTCAGAACAGTGGACTAACTAGTCCGAGGGTCAAACATGGCCAAACCCACTTGAATACTTTCCCCCGGGGAATCTATTCAGTGTCAATTAGCGGACTAGACAGCATGCAAGCTTTTTAGTTGGTCGCCATATTTGACCCTGGGGCTAGTAAGTCTGCTGTTCTGAATGCGGCCATAAACGTCTTCATATCAATTTCAATGTTAGAGGAGGTAACAGTGCGAAACGAGGATGAGATTAAAAAACTTTTGATACAAGTGACAAAGAATGGTGATCTAGTATTACGTAAACGGCAGTTAATTTACTCCATTGATCATACCTGGTGACATCATGCTTTATTCTTTTTTAAATGTAGGCCTACACAACAATTTAACAGTTTGTTATTGCTATCCAGTTCTTTTACATAGCTTGTAAAAACGTGCGGGTGCTAAATTTCAAAGACTAAAACTTCTAATAAAAAATTAATCAAATAAATGGTATAGATTTAAGACCAGTTTGGTGTTCGCTTAGGGCCTTAAAAAACACGTTCTGGTGACAATTTGCCCCTCGTTCTGAACGGACTGGGTGGTTTTTGTTTAGTTGTAGCAGCATATCCGGAAGGACAGTGAGTCCTGTATCCTGGTGGTAAGATTTCGATACATTGGGCGTGGCCTCTGTGTAGGTACATCGGTCTGGGCATAACTATAAAACTGTGCGGACCGTTCCGTGTGACACATTAATCTGTCTGCCAATATCTGTCTTTTTCGCGACATTCTGGCACAGATCAACAATTTTGTAAAACACTACTTAACTTATTTTACGCACTGCAAAACCGAACGCTTGCATGTAAAATGTCAAATTCTTCTACCTTATGCAGTAATTGCCGACATATGGATACTTTTTTGACAGAACTATGCTTCGCCAAAGCCAAGCTTTGACAAGCCCAAAGAAGCACTACCAAATTAAATCACTGCATATTACACAATGCAGCAGTGCAACAGACATAGTAGTCAGTTAATTGGTAGCGACACACCTGACAACACACTTCTCCATTCACATATCGTATGAGATCTGAGGTTTTTGAAAAAAAGAACGCATTTTTACCTAGGCATCGCTTTGAAACTAAAATATTCCATATTAAATGTCAAGTCTGTATATAATCATTATAAATACTTACTGTAAGAAAAGTTCTGGTCCGTACTCCCTTGGTTTGGTAGATATCCCCTTCCAGGTATAACGCAGTATATTTTTCTCGCGCTCTGTCAGACCAGTCTTCTCGTCAACAGTGTCACTGCCCCCATAACCAAAGAACATGCTCCAAATTGCACCCATTTTATTCCTGAAACACAACATTTCGGACAGTGAAAAGAACACCACACAACATTATGTTAAGATAAATAGTTATTATGTTGATTCTGTGAGACGCCTAATCCAAAGAACGCATCATTTTTACAACCGCGGGTCCCACCACTAGTCTGCATCTTTTTTTTTTTTTTTTTTTTTTTTGACAAATAGGGTCTTTACACGATAATTAAAACAGTGGACTGCGAAGACAGTGGAGATCTAAAAACCGAGCCGATTCCTGTCCTCGTGCAGGTTACATACGCACGATAAACGAATTTTTGGATAATTGTTGAAAGGTGTTTTGGAAAATCGAGCATATCCCCGGGGATAAAGTATCACTAGTGATTATCACATGTTGTGCTTTTTCGTCTTTTCTTTAAACATCCTTTCGTTATCTACAGAACTTATTTTGAATATTACCGTTGAAAAGAAACGTAGTAAATAAGTTTAACTGCTTGTGGGATGTCATTTCCGAAAAGTAAATCAATGGAGTGGCAGGCACTTTGGTTTTCAACGACAAATTTATGACGTCATATGCCAGGTTTTCACAGCACTGCACACATACATAACATTAGTGTGACTGGAAGTGTGATTTGAAATGTAGTGATTGCAAGAAGGTATAACATGGCAAATGCAATGTTCAACCTGCTCATCATTTAGATATGAGAGGAGTTACCATGTGACACCACAAACTATATATATTAAATTGCAACTGCACAGGTCGAGTCAGACCAGTTAGTGAGTGCAACAAAAAACCTGGTAAAGTTTATCCACGCCTATTGTACTATTGTGCTCTCTAAAGTTTTGTGAAATTACAGTCTTTTCATACATTGCTAATTCACAAAAGCTTGCGTGTGACTTTTGTATTGCTCTCTTGAACGACATTCCCGGCGCAAAGAGTTTCATCCTTATCGCTGAAAAGTTAACCCCGCCTCACGCGGATTCTCGTACGATTTCTTAGTCTCGTGTGACGCCACGTAGTGCTTGCAGACTCTCGGGTTCGGAGATTTGAACGTACAGGGCCAACAAATGATCCATCAAATGATTTTGTTCAAATAGATCTAAATATCTTTATGCTTAAGTTAACTTTTTTACCGCACTGTCTACATACTCTGACATGTTTCTCCTAAACCGTTGCGATAAAGCACTTCAGCAACATTTAACTGACAACCATGATAACACAAGTTTTACTCTGTTTGATTACGAAAGAAATCATTTCAGAAAACAATGAAAACAGCTAGGGGGGGGGTGCAGAAAAAAACTTGGAGCGCGAGAAAGACTGACCCCAAACCATTATTTTGTATAAACCTTTTTTTATCACAAGACTTGATACTTTAATTAAATCAATCCAACTGTTGATATTGATATTCACTATTTGCCGCTCTTCTAAGTTCTAAAGTCGAGATTATCTTCCAGTTGACAATAAAATACCAATTTTTTATTCTCTTGGCTTTCATTTGGTGAGCGACTGCACGCAATCCTCGCGTTTTCAATTCAGGTAAACTTCCAAAGTTTTGAGTTCGAGTATCAATTTCTTTATTCATCAACCATATTTAGGCCTTTGGGTTAGAAGCGCATGCTATGGAAAAATAAAGAGATTGAAAAAAGAGAACAAAAACAGGGGCGAATTGAAGCCGTCTTCTGGGTCTTCCTGAAGACAGTAAGATTTTCGAGTTTACATTAACGGGTGTCTATTTTTTCTATCGGAAGACGGTCAAAAAAGGAGGATGGATCAACAAAGATACTGGTAATTTGGAAGACTCAGAAAATAGCTCTGGATCCACCCCTGAAAAAGAACCGCGTTCTTCTCTCTCTAACAATTGCCCAAATGTCAAAAAGAGAAGCTTACCGACTCACCACGCAATACAGAATATCGCGAACCTCACCCCTTAAAAGAAAAGAGTGCTCACTGTACGCTACTCAAGCGAGGGTTCCAGTGGGGTTTCGTTTTATATGTTACCAACTCGTATCTCCTTTTTACACACGATAGCAGAGCTCAAATGGCAATGGATTGCCTTAAAGCAACATTGAGGGTGTATAGAAAGCCTATACTACTAAATGCATAGGCTTAAAAGTTCACAGTCAGAACATGTCTGCAACCACTCACGATTCTGGGGGTCGGATAAGGGTAAACAAATACGTCAGTAAACTACCAAACTATTCAAGATATGGCCTCTTGCTTTCATATCACTTAAGTTTATTTCGTGTTACACTGTATCTGCCCTACTTGACTGGGGACATCAGAGGGAAGAATGGAAATATTTCTTTCATGAAAATTGAATTAGAAACATCAGACCTTCAACGGGCCTTTATAAAAGGATCACAGGAAGAATCTCGTCAGCGAAACAATGTGTTGCGATGTAAACGTGGCTGACTAAAAAGTCGAACAGCCCCGTTTACGTCACGATCTGAACTCTGTAGCTGTCACTTAATCCCTACATATTGTTTGAATCAACGAGAACTGAGTCCTGAACCTGTAAACGTTTGCTTTTAATTAACGCCACTGGTTAAATGATCCGTGTAGTTTCCGTTACTTTTGTACATATTATTAAGATTTGGAATATAAAAATTAATAAAATAAGCCATGCAGAAACATGGCCGGGCCTAAAAAAGAGACCTTACCCGACAAATATTCCCAGCAAGCTGACACAAATGCGTTGGATACTTGTGGGTCCTGTAACTCCTGTTTGAGAAAAACCATGCTCGCATACTCATGCACTCAGTCAAACTATAAACTATCCGTCTCCTGCTATGAAAAAAATACATCTAATTTTGCGTTCAAATAGCAACGGCGAGCATGCCTATCCGCAAATCAGGTAAATGAGACAACAGACACTCAATATTTCTGTCAAAGCGTCAAATACCTTTACGTCTCCCAAAGCTGATCGTTACTTCTTCGGGTCTGAAGAGCTTCAAACTCAGAGGTGAATAATTTGTCAAAGAGTCATATACTCCAAATACTGACGGTGCTCCTGTTCAAGTGCTTTGCGACCGTCTGCACGCTAGCTGTCATCAATACTGGTATGAGTGAGGCTTTGACAATAGTTCCTCCGCTTAATGTGTAACACGGCGTTGACGGATTTGGCCCGTTCTAGCCGATGTCATTATTGTTTGAGTAAACATAAAGCTCTACTTCTTCCCCTGTAAATGCCTCAGCGACAAAAGTATTTGACCCGAGAGTTGCTATGTAAAGTTCACATTGAAGAAAAAAGTTGATAACGAACCTCTTTTTTATGAAACAGATTGATTTCAATGAAGTCAATTTATCATTGTGTTAGATTGCGTTGACCCAGAAGTGCGGGGTGTACCAGTACCGTACGTCGTGTGCTGCAGAATGTCACTTAAGTATAATTCAAACCTACTCTATTCATGTCACACATACTACATGTAGGGCGAGTGTTGGTGATGTAACAAATTAGCATCTGGTTACGCTAGTTTTATATATATGTTGGCTCCTATATTGTTTATTTATGAATATAAAAAAGTAGTGACGCCGGATTTGAGCGACAGATATTACAGGGCACTACAGCACCTGTAGTGAAGAGCGGCGTGTGCAGCAGTCATTCCCAGTTTCTCAGTCTAATTCAAATTACTGAGTCCAAGCATTTTCCTCAGTCTTCCCATATGCATATGATACAAGGGCACTGACAGCAGAACTGCAGAAAACTTTTAAGCAGGGAAGATGAAACAGCAGGAATCTTTGAGCAGGCGAGATTCGTCCTATATACTGACACGGATACTTGGGTGCGAAGACCTACTGCCCATCTTGGTCATTGACCTTTTGGGTAGCCCCAGTTTTTGTCGATAGCTCTTCGGTATCTGTATTTAAGCTACTGAACTACCTTTTGGATTACCTTATCATCTTGACATGACACATTTTTATTGATCTCTTTTCCTACTTTAAAACAATTGCAAAATTTAAAAAAGGGGGGGGGGGGCAAAACTGCGACCCTCATTGGGGACATTTTACATGACGTTTCTGCAATATACTACACAAGAAGACTTTTATCTTCAGAAACAAAGCAGTAATAGTAAGCTAAATGATAAGAACATTTTCAACAGATATCTAACTCAATTTGCAAGAGGTGACTTCAGAGATGCTATCTAGGCTTCATCGCTCGCTCACAGTTCTCGTTTGGTGAGTGATTTCTTGCAGAGGATGGAGCAACCATCTTTGGGCTCTGATATTAATCCTACTGAGCACTTGTGGTATGAATTGGATTGTGCAATTCAGAGGAGAACCAACCCTCTAATAACCAGAACCAACCCCGCTTAGCTATTTAGGAGGAATGGGGCAATTTTTTACAAAACAAAACAGAAAACTTCCTAAACATCGCAATTCTGCCACCATTAAAGAAAAAAAAACTATTATACTCATTCTAATTATGATAATTGTTCAATTTAATAATTAATCTCGAACTTATCTAAGTGTCTTTACAATTAAACCTTTAGAATAAGTCACGAAGAACGTTTCACTTAAATCACAAAATGAGAATCTTAAATACCCAGCATAGTGGTAATATCTTGTATCTACTTCTGTTATCAGTAGCTACTACTCTTCATTTTGAAATCTTAAAATCTTAATTTTGTAATGTGGAGGAAAAATCCAATTTGTTGCCTTTGTCATATACTTTCTCTTTACCTTTTTGTTGTCCTCATGACATCCCCATATTACATTTTGTCAGTTCTTGAATATCCTGGCAAAATTTTACTGTGTCTGAATCGTCTTGGTATCCATCCTCCACAACATCAAAATCTTTCTTCTCATCAATCAAACATTTTTTTCAATCTATAGTTAAGTAATTTTCGCTTAAAAATCATAACCATCCAATTCCATTTGTTCTTCAAAAATCTCTCATTATTTTAAATAATCTGTAATGACCTCTCCATCTCCACCATGTTTCTTTTCACACGTTCATTAACTTTCACCGCCGTTAAGTCCGTCATCATCATAATCAGTCTTCTTTTTTCTTTATCTTCCGTTCATTTTCAATCATTCTGTCCTTATTAGATCTATTTCCACTATTTTCATCATCTACAGATGTACAGAACGGTTCTCTACTAAACTCAATCACATAACTGGTTCACATGAGTCATTTTCTCATCATCATTCCCTTTTATTTTTTCTTCCATTTTCCCGACTTATTACCTCCTGACATTTATTGATTTAATTCACTACAGTTCTTAACAGGGGTCTTTTTTGTTACACTAAAGGCCTTCAAAGCCATTTTTTCTCATCTGAGTCAATTTTCTTCATATGCAAAGCTCTCTTTAACATCCTCATCAAAGATATTTTCTGATTTTATAGGTCCTTTTATATTTCAAATATTATATTTGCGAAATCTCAAATTGTCCATCTCAAATACAAACTCTGCACCTAGAAGCTTAATCAAATCATTGAATGTTCTTTGATTTAACCTAGATGGGTCCTACATTAAACACAGTTCCAGGATTATCAGGAGTTATGATTGAACAGAAATGAAGTGTTGGCTCTCTGTGAACAATGGGTAAAATAAAAGTGTGAAAAATTATGTAAAGAAATAGCGTCTTGTAAAATCAATAATGAACCCACCAAAAAGGGGATTCCATAGTTTCTTTATTCATGGAAAAACCTCTACATATATTGGATACATCAGCTGACAAACGTACACAGCAGTAATCAAATATCAATCACTTCAGACAAGGACGAAATTTCATTGTTCACAACGGTATATCAAACGATAATTATCCATTGTAGTCTCGCCCTTGGTGGCACTTGATTCACATGTGGTATTCCCATATACTCAGCACTTTTCATACTTTGGCATAAGTGAAATGGGAAATAAATCTGAGATCATTGTCGTGAAACAATTAAAACATCGGCGAGGCAACTCCAGGGTTTTTTCCGTGGGTGGTATCCCATCAAAAGAGACACTTTGAAAGATTTGTTATCTTCAGCTTCAAATTCGTGCCAGATTTTTTAATGTTCAAACCTTCATCATGACGTAATTCTATTAAATTACTGTTTTCGAGCAGACGATATTTCCAGTAACTGTACCTAAATCGGCAACAAATCATTTTTCATTGGCACGTTAAGTTTTCCATTTTGCAAAGTTACCGTAGCTTTAAAACTTTGATTCTTTGTACATTGTTCCTGTATTTTAAAGCTATAGACCCTACATATGCAATTAATATACGGTAAGTTGTTTTTCCGCGTGTGCATATTTCCCAAATTTCAGTCTGCATATCATGCAAATATACTTGTTTCCCGATTCGGATCTTTAAAACGATAAAAGAATCAAAGTGTCTGGTGTCGATATTTTATTCTGAAATGTACAGGAAGGCATGGCGGTCTAAACATTCATATTTAGAAGTCAAACATTTAATTATATAATAGAAAATGGCATAAAACACCGAACCCAAGTGCAGGCAAGGGTCGAGCAATGGTTCCTGCGTAGGAGAAAAGTACTTTTTTTTTCAAGGATAATTCGATCTGAAGAAAAAAATCTTTGAAATGATATCTATTACATTTGACGTATAAAGGAAATTTGACTCTTAGGTTATGGCCAGTGCTTTATATTGATACATCAAATTGAATCTAATTCACCACAGCACAGTCATATAATTGTATGCTGTATGTTTCAGTAACTAGCATTTCTTGTACCAATTTGCTAATTAGCTCGTGAGCTCGTGGCAACCCACTCCTTGACAGGTCAATATTAGGAACTCACCGTGATTTGATCCATTTGTGACTTGAAGTTCATAACTCAACTCCTCGCAGTGATTCCTCTACAGGATATTAAACACGAATGAGTAAATAGACAATATGACCTATTATCCCAGTAGATGTACATCTGGGAAAAAGATATTTGAAAGTGTATGTGTTTTTTGTTATTAGTTTATACACGCAGGTACATGCATATACATGTATACGTGTTCCGACATAAGTTACTTTCCATGGTCTCGTTATTAAAACATTGTGCCGTTATTTCATTTTGGACAAGATTTGGTTGGCTACAAGCGTTTGTTACTATTATCTTTATTATTGTTGTTGTTTATTTTAACTTCAGTTTTTAACAAAGAGGAGCAATGGTTCCATTCCTCGAAGTGGTAAGTTTTTATTTGTCCTTCTGCTCAATCTTTACTATGAAGAAATACACGCACAGAGAAAAATTCCTTTCAAGACATGTTCGTCACCATCCAAATGAACTTAAAGGCAAGGAACTCAACACCAGAAAACAACATTTTACTTTCAAATTTAGGAAAATTTATCACAATAATTTTAAATTCTCCGACATGTGCATACCTGTTCGTTTATTTTTTATTGCTTTGTTATCTCTCTCTATACCTATATAGAGATTATGAGAACAAACAATCTTGTACATGTATCTCGAATCCGCCTAAATACATAGGTCCTGCTCATGATTATTTGCCACGAAAATTGTCCTAGATCCTTTATCCTCCTCTAGTATCCGGCTGTATTTATCATCTCTTTTTTTCTGATTTAGTTGCAATGAGTCATCTTCTTGTTTACCTTATATTAATTCCCAAATTTCAAAACTATCTCGAGAGCTTTCATCGGCAAGCAAGTATTTCATGAATTGTAGGAATGTCTCAGAATAAGTTCTTATAAGACGTGTTATGTCAGCTCATGCAGTGACATTGGTTTACTTAGGTGGAAAATAAGAGTATTCTTTTAAATGTCACTGTATGGTGTTTATTAAAGAATTCTCTTTTAGATCTAAGAAATCCAAAAACAAAAAGCACAAAAATTGTACGGAAAGAATTTGCAAACACGTGTAACTGATGATAAAAATACTCACCGCTTATGATTAAATATACTGAAAAGAAGGTAGGCCCTACACTTCTATTTTGGTCCCCAAAATGGACTGCACATCTGTTCTGTTATATTATATATGAAGCTGGCAAGGTGTGTGTTGATATAGTAATTCAGGCAAAGGCATGACACTCCTGAACACACGAATGAACCTCTGACCTAGTTGACTATCTAATATAGCTTTCACCAATCCCTTTTCGAGATGTTCTCAGCGACCAAGTTATATCTCATCTCTTACCTTATTCCTGTTGGTGTGGTGGCTCCTTCCAACTCAGAAATTTCGTTGAATTTTTTTTTTTTAGCGGCGTTTCTTTGCTGTGCATCACTCAGAAATCCACATACTATTGGCTGCTACATATCATAAAATGGTTGTATTTTTACACTTGAATACCGAAACATTTACTTTCGGTTTTGAGTTTCATGGTCAATATTTTTCAGAATGTTGTATTTCCTCTCTCACATACATATATTTACTTTAGAGTTTTCAATATCAGTGCCTTTGACTTCCTTTTTACTTGAGAGCCGACTTAAATGCCGTTACCTAAACTGATCAGGGATGTTTTTTTTATTTTTATTTTCGTTCGTTCTCAATTGCAACATTCAGACCTGTCCCCCTTTTATTAGTATTTAATTGATAAGAAAGACTAAGTTATGTTAAGTTTTAGATTGTTCAAGAAAAATAACAATCTAATGTGACGTCTTTCACTTTTCTGTGTCTAGAAAATATTATTAACTATTATAAGTCTAATCAGCTATTCTGTGGTCGTACATTCAAAACTCAACACAGCAAAATTGACACTTCATGAAAATAAGCGCTCTTGAAGCTTAAGTCATTTCCTGCTCAGAATCAAGTTACTGAATTTGATGGCTATTTCAACAGAATGCTTCAGGCTTTCAATTAACTTAGTTTTGCTATTTATAAGATTCGTGAAAAGATTTAAAAAAAAGAAAAATAATTACAGGTATGTTGATATAAAATATATGTAAAGATTAATTTTTTCCACTGGTGGAAATGAATTTCATCTCACATCTCTCTTGAGAATATATTACGTTGTGAGCATGTAGTCCACATGACTTGTTGAAGAGATAAGCGTTGTAACATTGTATTTGACAAAGCATATTCCCTATCTGAACTTGCCAATCGTTTCCCTCTCTCTCTCTCTCTCTCTCTCTCTCTCTCTCTTGTATGGTCATATGCTCTTATTCATCGTTAAAAGAAGGTATTTATATACGACCGACAGTTACAATCACGTGCTGATTGTACGCGGTGATCAACGTTGGGGTAAGGCTTAGTTGTCTTACGTCAGCTGAAGTTTTAACTCAAATTAAAGGGCAAGGTAGGTATGACTGAATTTCCAATGTCTACACTTTAACAGAAAATTGTTCCAGTCCAAGACATCGACGTGTGTGATTTGTAAAAGGACTGTTCTTCAAAGATAAATCCCAGCTCATCCATTACGTCTCTCCCATTTAGTAAGATTGTGGTAACAGGACTTACGAGATATTTTCTTTCGCCCAGCAAGATGCAACTAACACAATAGCAATGACTTCGTGGAGAAATCCCTTCAAAGCTAAAATCTGGTAGTGTTGTAAACACCCGACAAGATTAATAGACCCGCTTTTCGATGCATGCTTCATAAATGTACAAAAAGATTTTTAAATCAGCTTAAGCTACCAAATTTGAACAGCGTAGGTGTAAAGTCGACCTAATGGTATTGGTCTTGAGAGCGTTTTGTTAACGACTGTTCCACAATACATGTAAATGAAGTGTACATGTACATAGACCTACCCTAATGTCACCACTGCGATTGACAATATTAGTAAGTTTTTGGGGGCACAGTTTAAAGATCGAAAAATAGGGAAAAGTCCCATTTATTATGCCTTAGTCGGCCATAATTCTTTAGTAGCAGTTCTTTGTAAGACAAATTTTGGTGGGGTTTCCGATGTTTTTTTTTATTATTATTTTTATTTTTTATTTTTATTATTATTATTTTTTTTTTTTATGCCGACTGTCAACTTCATCTTCTCCGTTCATTGAAAACAATTTCTTAGGAGACTTTTACTCGGCCCGAGTGAAAAGTTTTATGTTATCTGGAACGTTGGTTTTATTCTAGTGATAAATCAAGTTAAAATGCCTAAACATAGCTTTTCAAAATGACATCATTGTAAGCAATTGGACAATAACTTTGTTTACATATATAAGTTTGGGTTTACGACAAAATAATTAGCTTAACGCGTCAAATGAATTCCACAACTTCTTTGCAACAGATAATTGGTCTAGGAAACCTAAACGTTAAGAGAAATAAAAACGCCACAAGCATGATTGAAATAAATGTCTGGTTTATGGTGTGGGCGTTATAAGATTGGTAAATGCTCTTAGAAAATCAGGTGTCTTGCAATGGCAGGATTTTCTCGAGTGAGGCATGTAGTTCAGATATGCTGACAAGATATGCTCGGATCACTGAAGGATCAGGCAACGAACCCCGCAAAGTGAAATGTGTTTCGTGGTCGATAACAGAAAATCGGAGTCAGTTAGCGGACGTGGTACCCAAGAATTGTTACTGGTATTCTTATGCTCTCTGTCTATTTCTNTACTTGGGGGAAAAGGTATGTTCATTACATTTTTCTTATGTCATATTGACACTTTGAGGATGAATGTGCAATTTTTGGTTTTTTTATATTCTCTACTACATTTTATCTTACAGACAGCAGTTTCAGCACTAGCATGTTGCCATATTCTTTCCAGGCCCATAGCCAGGGGGGGAGGGGGGTTCGTTATGGGTAAAATTTGATCTAGAGACACAAAAGTTTCATTGTAAGATGCCCACTTTTTCAGAAAAAGAACCCCCCCCCCTTTTGAAATTGCTGGCTACAGGCTTGCTTTCAAACTTCAAAGTGAACTATCTGGTAAAGACTATCGCTTAACACCTAACCATGCCTGTTAATATTAAACACCCACTGGTACATTCTGTGCAATTACAGCTGTTTATCCCTTTTTAACAAATGTTGTATTTTAGGTGGTTGCTGAAGCAAGGTTTCTGTTTGGTAGGTAATTTTGAGCATTTTATTTTTTATTTTTTCTTGAATAAACTGATTGAACTCCTAGTCACCTAAATGATACCTCTAGCCATTCTTGTAATTAACTTCTGTGCTCTAACTAAAAAGTGGACAAGGATTTAATTGCACTACATGGACTTATCATTTATAGATAAAGCTTGATCTGTTAATTAACACCATAACATAAAGCATTTATTAAATATTACCAGGTGGTATTTGATGTTCATATCCAAATCTGCTTTTCAGTCATCAGAGCAAAATCAACCAGCGACCCAGACGCCTTGGCGCACAGATTGTCACACAACATTACTGTTGACTACAACATATCCTGTACTGCACTGAGACCATATGAATCCTTTGCTAAGAATCTTCTGGGTGTAGATGATGCCTTGTGTGGACAAGCACCATATAAACTGTCACCTGGTGGACATCTGTACATGCTGAACTTTGAAGTTGAGTACAAAGGTAAACTTTCAAAATGTTTGTCTTTTTATGCTTCTGAAAACAAAAACGGTTAAAGAAGACCATATAAGAATAATAGGATGCTATTCAATGCCACATGTAATTTAAATACCAAACTTTTGTTGCACGTACTGGGAAATTTAGAGTTGTCAAGCAATTTTGTGTGTGTGTGTGTGTGTGTGTGTGTGTGTGTGTGTCATGCTTGCAAATTTGCCATCTTTTAACTTTTTTTAATTGTGCATGGTGTCTGTATAGGGCCTATTTGTAGAGCTCTGTCTTGTATTTATAACAGTCATTGTGTTTATTATGTTACCAGGCATGTCCCAGGACATTCTTATGAGAAACTGGAAAGAAGAGGCTCAGTTTGCACTCACCACACGCCAACAAGGGACAGAGCTTGAATTGTTTAAGGCAATGGGAGAACGGAAGGTGAACCCTTTAACTTGTTCTTATCCTCATCTAGGGGTTATCTTATTCTTATCCATGGACAGGATGTCGAAATAAACATTGTCATGTTATGCTATCACATAGAAAGTATATCAGGGTGAATTTGTAACAGTATAGCGTTTGGACGAGGGGGGGGGTAATATGCTTGTTCAAGCTGGCGAGGTACGGTAACAGCAGTGTTTTGGGGGTGAAAACTAATTTGGCATTTTTACAGATCTCACTCACCTGAACAGTTACCAACAACATTTTAAAGCCTATACAATAACAATAATGGATAATGATAGTTTATCTGCAGTTACATTATTGTTAATATTATCTTATCTTCTCTAGATTGTGGCCTTCATAAATGTGAACACGCCAGAGCAGTTAGATGACATTGCGTGGAATCTGCCAATCATGAAAAGTATTGGGGACCAAGTTCATATTCTTTGCAAGTCTGTCCGACTATATTCCGATTACTTGCAGGACCTTCAAAGTAACTTTGCTGAATAAAAAACTTTGACAAGAAATAGGCCATTGTTTTATAGGTATTTTTATAAGAGGAAGTTGGCCATGTAATTACATATATAAAGCTTTATTTTGCTACCCAAGTGAATGCACGTCCAAGAATTTCCCAAAACATTAATCTAAAAAAGCATATAGGGTAAATGGTTGATAGATGCTTGCTGCATTTAGGGTGCTTTATCTTAGGGCCCATTCCTATAGATGCCATTGCTCAACGTGGATCAACCCAACTCTGTGTGAACTCTTGCTGACTGCAATCAGCTTAACTAAAAGACATGCCTCCTGGCATTAAGTAGAATACAGCAAAAGCTGGTAATTACGATTAGTTGGAAGCAAGAGTAAGCTTGTCTTTCAGTTAAGCTGATTGCGCTTAGGGAGAGTCCCTGCAGAGTTGGGTCTATCCCTGTAGACCGATGGTGTCTGTGGGGATAGGGTCTTAGTCTTATTAATTGGCATTTAATAGGTCAATATTTGAAAGGTATTTTTATCAGCAGTTGCGTATGTAAGTACTTATATTGGGTCTATCCAAATAGACTGATGGTTTCTATGGGGATAGGGTCTTAGTCTTACATTAATTGTTATAAAGTACAATATATAATGGCGTTTTCCGACAGGGCCAATTGTATATTTCACACTTTACCTTATTTTTCATTTGTGCAATTTAAATTATGAGTAAAGTTTGTTATCATAAACTACCTTCTTGTACTTCCTTCCAATGTTGATACCTTTTTTTTACGTTTGTGATGCATTTATCGTGATAAAACATCTTTTGAAGCTTTTTACGATCTCATAATACTTTAGAAAATTGCCAATGTGATTAACGTTTTTTTTTTCTCCTTTCATGGCAAATAAACAAATTCTATGACTAAAAAAGCGCACAAAGATTTTAAATGATAAAGTGTAAGATTTTTTAAACGTTAGGTTCACTAAGCGCTTGTTTAACTCTTCGTTATTATGTCCAAGTTTAACTTATTTCGGGACAGGTGATACTTTTTGATCATACTATTAAAAGCGATATGAAAATAGGCACGCAAAACGTGGGAAATTCACACTGCTTTGCAGTAGACAGTAATTTTGAATAAAAAAAAAAAGAACCAGAAAAATAACTATGGATCCACGTTGAACCCTCGTTCTATCTTTGTGACATCACTTCACAGCCGACTCCACTCCCAGATCCCGCGATTTTCAGCTACATGTCGCGAGACTCTGGCATGGCACCCCCACTGCTCTCGCTCTAAAAAGCCGAGAACTAAATATGGCGGGCGTACATGAAAGGAAAACCGCCTAGTTCTTTAATGGTCTCTCCGCCTCTCACACGCGTCGTCCCTGCGGGGGTACAGTCATTAAACCTCGGCTCCATTGGGACGACGCGTGGGGAGGCGTGTGAGAGGCGGAGAGACCATTAAAGGATTGGGCAGTTTTCCTTTCGTGTACGTCTGCCATATTTAGTTCTCGGCTCTTCTCGATGTGAATACGGCCTTAGAGAAATTGTCTTTCCCATCTGGCTCTGTTGATGAAAGTATATTATCGTTTCTCGACAGGAAATGGCACTGTGTGAGTTTCTCGGACATGTTTCCAGTGCACTTAAGCTTAGTTCTGAGAAAAGCTGACAGCGGATCGCTAATGGTGTATACTGCTTTAAAGACGAGGAATGTTTAAAATTTCCTCTGATTTATCAGGGTGTATACAGTATATAAAGTGGTTGAGAAAGATTTTTTATTTTCTTTCAGTTCTAAAAAAAACGAGTTCTTAATTTCAATTTTAAAGAGTGATCTTTACCAGACGCCATGCATCTTATTTAATAGAATGATGGCTGGCTATCCGACTCTCATCACGTGCAAAATAGTGCAAGATGAGAATGTTATAAGAATATCGATTCATTAATAGCACCTGTATTTGGCCTTGAATTCTGTCGCCCGAATTGAATTCTTTTGACACAAGCTTAACACGGCAGAGCAGCAAGGTTGCATTTGTTTTCTCTATATTTCTGTAACAGCAAAGACCTTAACTTTCCTCTGGCTAAGGCAAATGGATGCAGTCTATTTAGTCTAGGTAAATACTCTGTGTTTGCGTCATCTTTTATTTCGGCTTCATATAGCAGTTTATGTATTGAAGCCTTGTTATAGTTCTGTTTCTGTGGTATGGTATTCAAAATGAAAAAACTCGTTATTTCATTTAAACACATGCACACGTGTATTATATTGCATATATTCTCCATAAATCACCACACAAGAAAAAAACAACAAAAATTTACTTTCACAGGTGTTTATCAATTTTGTAGAATATACAGAGTAAATACAATATATGCTAAGTTACTACATACATTTCTCCAGTTTACTTAATAATAATAATAATTTATTGAGCATTAAAATGTGTACAGTTACATTTTACAAGCTCTCTAAACTACAGTTTTACATAAATTGTGCACGTAAGCTTAAATAAGTATAACTATTTTAGATCATTCAAATACCAAAATACATATAAGCTAACTACTCCATACATATAGCTCACAATAGTAGTAAGACACAATCTTATAATACTGGATATAGTATTTTGTACAATATGCATTTGCTACTTAGGCATTACTGACTGTATAAACTTGGCCACTGCTGATGCACTTGCACGACACTGTGGATTAAGAATTTGTACTATTTTGCTATCATCATCAGTGCCTGATAGACCAGAGAATCGTGACAGGGAATCAAACATTTTTTTACGCTCACGTTGATGCTGAGTGCAGATCAGGAGAAAGTGCTTTTCGTCTTCGATAACATTTTTTGCAGTGTGGACAAAATCTTTCTTCCATTGGTGTTTTAGGAGATGTATGTCTCAACCTTTCAATTTGTAAATTGTGGTCACTAAGGCTGAGTTTTGATATTGCTATTTTGTAATGGGCTGAAATGCCGAGTTGCAGGTATTTTTAATGATAAAAACATAATAATCGGTTAAACACTGAAAATCTGCTTTAATTATCTCTCTACTCTAACATAAGAGGCCGTTCCAAAGAACAAAAACCATTCTTGATTTTTAAAATGATAATTCCGTCTCGCTAACGCTTGAATGCTTTCTTGCTTTTTGACAAAAAAAAAAAAAAAAAAAGGAAAGAAAAAAAAAAACGTTTCTTTGACATAACAAAGACGTTAATAATTAAAGCATACTAAAATGGCACCATTTATATAATTATTCAAACTAGAAAGATTGGTTACGACTGGTGACATATTATATCGCCTTCTCGTTTGCACAAGATTTTATGGTAGTTTGAAATGATGAACAGCTGCTAACTGTATCTAAACGCACAACGTAGGCTACTTTTCTTAAAAAGGTTTTACGTTGTTGCTTATTGATTACACTGTTTATATAAAGATATTTACACAATTATACATGCCCTTTTCTTTTTCATTAAGTCTTAAAGCTGTACATACATAAAAATCTCGGACTTCTAACACTGATCAAGATACACATTGTGGCTATTTCTCGTCGTACGCGCTTTTGATGACAGACATGATCACCGATAACGCTTTATCCCACGTGGCTCTTTCTGTGGGCCCAAACCTGCTGCTTCCCAACGAGTTCTCCAACCATGATAAAATCAATTCACAGAACTCCTGTAAGTACAGAGTAACTACACAATTAGTTTTTCATAACTTTTTTTTTCCGGAGTGTGTAGCTGATAAAATGCCGTAGTTGAGAAGGAAAACGCAATTTGGCATAGCCGCTATCTGCTAACTCGGATAATGTACATTACTTTAGCCTAAACCTAAACTTTTGAGGGAATTTTTATTTACACAATTGGCTGATGGTCTATACTACAGTCAATGTTTCGTTTTCATTAGCACTATCTTTAACGGAAAATGACAGCACTAGTGAGGCTCTTCTAGTTGAGGTACATTGTAAAAGTTTACAATAAAACGTATCTACAGCATTCTCTCATTTCTCACTAAATGTAGTACCCCATCAGACCCACACAAATAAATCTGAAATATACACAATCATACACACATACACAAATAAACCCATCAACTCTTACCGGCCCAAACAAAGCAACAGGTATCCCTATTTTCTGGTGATTGGTGCCGATTTTCTTCAGCAGCGATACCAAGCAGTCGGCGTCGTCTAAGCTCTCTACGACACTCGTGAGGGAGTTAACAACTGTGGCACCATGGGCACGCAATACAAAGCTTTTTCGTAGTTCTTCGTTTGATTTGTCTTTGAGGGAACGAAAATATTTCTTTGTCTCCGGTATCTTCGTGAAAAGTCTGTGTGAAGAGAGAAAATAATGTTAAGACGATGGCAACTGCGGGACATACCCAGTAACAATAGATTGAGTAGAATGCCCCCCAATAAGTAAAATAAATAAAATGATATAATGGAGTTAGCATATACAGGATCAATTTTTACGTTCATTCTACTCTTAATATTTTGCTGGCGAGGAACAGGTCACTGTACTACTTTAAGTAATATTAAACTACGAAAACTGAAGACTAACTGGCTAGAAAAAATGCTCCTTTTCATACAAATATATATTATTTCTATAGCTAATCCGATTCCCTGCAGCAAATGTCAAAGTAAAACTCTTCGTAGTTTCCATCACTATAGTGTGGTGTATTACCTCCTGTGATGGCACTTGTACTTATCAAGTTACAAATCCGAACAGGGCTAATCCTTATTTCATCACATTTGCGATAGAGTTCCAATGGGAAGCATACATCGTTGATACATAGGCCGCATTCAGAACAGTGGACTAACTAGTCCGAGGATCACACATGGCCAAACCCACTTGAATACTTTCCCACGGGGAATCTATTCAGTGTCAATTAGACAGCATGCAAGCTTTTTAGTTGGTCGCCATATTTGACCCTGGGGCTAGTAAGTCTGCTGTTCTGAATACGGCCATAAACGTCTTCATATCAATTTCAAGGTAACAGTGCGAAACGAGGATGAGATTAAAAAACTTTTGATACAAGTGACAAAGAATGGTGATCTAGTATTACGTAAACGGCAGTTAATTTACTCCATTGATCATACCTGGTGACATCATGCTTTATTCTTTTTTAAATGTAGGCCTACACAACAATTTAACAGTTTGTTATTGCTATCCAGTTCTTTTACATAGCTTGTAAAAACGTGCGGGTGCTAAATTTCAAAGACTAAAACTTCTAATAAAAAATTAATCAAATAAATGGTATAGATTTAAAACCAGTTTGGTGTTCGCTTAGGGCCTTAAAAAACACGTTCTGGTGACAATTTGCCCCTCGTTCTGAACGGACTGGGTGGTTTTTGTTTAGTTGTAGCAGCATATCCGGAAGGACAGTGAGTCCTGTATCCTGGTGGTAAGATTTCGATACATTGGGCGTGGCCTCTGTGTAGGTACATCGGTCTGGGCATAACTATAAAACTGTGCGGACCGTTCCGTGTGACACATTAATCTGTCTGCCAATATCTGTCTTTTTCGCGACATTCTGGCACAGATCAACAATTTTGTAAAACACTACTTAACTTATTTTACGCACTGCAAAACCGAACGCTTGCATGTAAAATGTCAAATTCTTCTACCTTATGCAGTAATTGCCGACATATGGATACTTTTTTGACAGAACTATGCTTCGCCAAAGCCAAGCTTTGACAAGCCCAAAGGAGCACTACCAAATTAAATCACTGCATATTACACAATGCAGCAGTGCAACAGACATAGTAGTCAGTTAATTGGTAGCGACACACCTGACAACACACTTCTCCATTCACATATCGTATGAGATCTGAGGTTTTTGAAAAAAAGAACGCATTTTTACCTAGGCATCGCTTTGAAACTAAAATATTCCATATTAAATGTCAAGTCTGTATATAATCATTATAAATACTTACTGTAAGAAAAGTTCTGGTCCGTACTCCCTTGGTTTGGTAGATATCCCCTTCCAGGTATAACGCAGTATATTTTTCTCGCGCTCTGTCAGACCAGTCTTCTCGTCAACAGTGTCACTGCCCCCATAACCAAAGAACATGCTCCAAATTGCACCCATTTTATTCCTGAAACACAACATTTCGGACAGTGAAAAGAACACCACACAACATTATGTTAAGATAAATAGTTATTATGTTGATTCTGTGAGACGCCTAATCCAAAGAACGCATCATTTTTACAACCGCGGGTCCCACCACTAGTCTGCATCTTTTTTTTTTTTTTTTTTTTTTTTTGACAAATAGGGTCTTCACACGATAATTAAAACAGTGGACTGCGAAGACAGTGGAGATCTAAAAACCGAGCCGATTCCTGTCCTCGTGCAGGTTACATACGCACGATAAACGAATTTTTGGATAATTGTTGAAAGGTGTTTTGGAAAATCGAGCATATCCCCGGGGATAAAGTATCACTAGTGATTATCACATGTTGTGCTTTTTCGTCTTTTCTTTAAACATCCTTTCGTTATCTACAGAACTTATTTTGAATATTACCGTTGAAAAGAAACGTAGTAAATAAGTTTAACTGCTTGTGGGATGTCATTTCCGAAAAGTAAATCAATGGAGTGGCAGGCACTTTGGTTTTCAACGACAAATTTATGACGTCATATGCCAGGTTTTCACAGCACTGCACACATACATAACATTACACTTCCAGTGTGACTGGAAGTTTGATTTGAACTGCAGTGATTGCAAGAAGGTATAACATGGCAAATGCAATGTTCAACCTGCTCATCATTTTATAGATATGAGAGGAGTTACCATGTGACTCCACAAACTATACATGTATATATTGAATTGCAACTGCACAGGTCGAGTCAGACCAGTTAGTGAGTGCAACAAAAAACCTGGTAAAGTTTATCCACGCCTATTGTACTATTGTGCTCTCTAAAGTTTTGTGAAATTACAGTCTTGTCATACATTGCTAATTCACAATAGCTTGCGTGTGACTTTTGTATTGCTCTCTTGAACGACATTCCTGGCGCAAAGAGTTTCATCCTTATCGCTGAAAAGTTAACCCCGCCTCACGCGGATTCTCGTACGATTTCTTAGGCTTCGTTCACATGCAATGTCTATTTTCTAAATTCTATTTTCTATTTGCGGTATGTCTTATGATCACGGTCTGTGGCCTGAATATCCCGCGGCGTAATTACTGGCAGCGCGAGCCAGTTACCATAAGTTACTATAAGTAACTGGCTCGCGCTGCCAGTAATTACGCGGCAGGATATTCAGGGCACAGACCGTGATCATAAGATAGCGCAAATAGAAAATAGAAATTAGAAAATAGACATTGCATGTGAACGAAGCCTTAGTCTCGTGTGACGCCACGTAGTGCTTGCAGACTCTCGGGTTAGGAGATTTGAACGTACAGGGCCAACAAATGATCTATCAAATGATTTTGTTCAAATAGATCTAAATATCTTTATCCTTAAGTTAACTTTTTTACCGCACTGTCTACATACTCTGACATGTTTCTCTTAAACCGTTGCGATAAAGCACTTAAGCAACATTTAACTGACAACCATGATAACACAAGTTTTACTCTGTTCGATTACGAAAGAAATCATTTCAGAAAACAATGGCGAATTGAAAACAGCTAGGGGGAGGTGCAGAAAAAAAACTTGGAGCGCGAGAAAGACTGACCCCAAACCATTATTTTGTATAAACCTTTTTTTTATCACAAGACTTGATACTTTAATTAAATCAAGCCAACTGTTGATATTGATATTCACTGTTTGCCCGCTCTTCTAAGTTCTAAAGTCGAGATTATCTTCCAGTTGACAATAAAATACCAATTTTTTATTCTCTTGGCTTACATTTAGTGAGCGACTGCACGCGTTTTCAATTCAGGTAAAACTTCCAAAGTTTTGAGTCTGAGTATCAATTTCTTTATTCATCAACCATTTACAGGCCTTTGGGTTAGAAGCGCATGCTATGGAAATACTGTATAAAGAGGTAGAAAAAAGAGAACAAAAACAGGATTGAAGCCGTCTTCTGGGTCTTCCTGAAGATGGTAAGATTTTCGAGTTTACATTAACGGGTGTCTATTATTTCTATCGGAAGACGGTCAAAAAAGGAGGATGGATCAACAAAGATACTGGTAATTTGGAAGACTCAGAAAAAAGCTCTGGATCCCCCCTGGAAAAGAACTGCGTTCTTCTCTCTCTAACAAATTGCCCATATGTCAAAAAGAGAAGCTTACCGACTCACCACGCAATATCGAACCTCACCCCTAAATAGAAAAGAGTGCTCACTGTACGCTACTTAAGCGAGGGCTCCAGTGGGGTTTCGTTTCATATGTTACCAACTCGTATCTCTTTTACACACCATAGCAGAGCTGAAATGGCAATGGATTGCCTTAAAGCAACATTGAGGGTGAATAGAAAGCCTATACTACTAAATGCATAGGCTTAAAAGTTCACAGTCTGAACATGTCTGCAACCACTCACGATTCTGGGGGTCGGATAAGGGTAAACAAATACGCCAGTAAGCTACCAAACTATTCAAGATATGCCCACTTGCTTTCATATCACTTAAGTTTATTTCGTGTTACACTGTATCTGCCCTACTTGACTGGGGACATTAGAGGGAAGAATGGAAATATTTCTTTCATGAAAATTGAATTAGAAACATCAGACCTTCAACGGGCCTTTATAAAAGGATCACAGGAAGAATCTTGACAGCGAAACAATGTGTTGCGATGCAAACTTTGCTGACTAATAGGTCAAAACAGACCCGTTTACGTCACGATCTGAACTCTGTAGCTGTCACTTAATCCCTACATATTGTTTGAATCAACGAGAACTGAGTCCTGAACCTGCAAACGTTTGCTTTTAATTAACGATACTGGTTAAATGATTCGTGTAGTTTCCGTTACTTTTGTACATATTATTAAGATTTGAAATATAAAAATTAATAAAATAAGCCATGCAGAAACATGGCCGGGCCTAAAAAAGAGACCTTACGCAACAAATATCCCCAGCAAGCTGACACAAATGCGTTGGATACTTGTGGGTCCTGTAACTCCTGTTTGAGAAAAACCATGCTCGCATACTCATGCACTCAGTCAAACTATAAACTATCCGTCTCCTGCTATGAAAAAAATACATCTAATTTCTAACTGCGTTCAAATAGCAGCGGCGAGCATGCCCATCCGCAAATCAGGTAAATGAGACAACAGACACTCAATATTTCTGTCAAAGCGTCAAATACCTTTACGTCTCCCAGAGCTGATCGTATACTTCTTCGGGTCTGAAGAGATTCAACCTCAGAGGTGAATAATTTGTCAAAGAGTCATATACTCCGAATACTGACGGTGCTTCTGTTCAAGTGCTTTTCGACCGTCTGCACGCTAGCTGTCATCAATACTAGCTGGTATGAGTGAGGCTTTGACAATAGTTCCTCCGCTTAATGTGTAACACGGCGTTGACGGATTTGGCCCGTTCTAGCCGATGTCATTATTGTTTGAGTAAACATAAAGCTCTACTTCTTCCCCTGTAAATGCCTCAGCGACAAAAGTATTTGACCCGAGAGTTGCTATGTAAAGTTCACATTGAAAAAAAAAGTTGATAACGAACCTCTTCTTTATGAAACAGATTGATTTCAATGAAGTCAATTTATCATTGTGTTAGATTGCGTTGACCCAGAAGTGCGGGGTGTACCAGTACCGTATGTCGTGTGCTGCAGAGTGTCACTTAAGTATAATTCAAACCTACTCTATTCATGTCACACATACTACATGTAGGGCGAGTGTTGGTGATGTAACAAATTAGCATCTGGTTACGCTAGTTTTATATATATATGTTGGCTCCTATATTATTTATTTATGAATATAATAAATTAGTGACGCCGGGTTTGAGCGACAGATATTACAGGGCGCTACAGCACCTGTAGTGAAGAGCGACGTGTGCAGCAGTCATGAGCAGTGACAAAATTCATTTCCAGTTTCTCAGTCTAATTCAAATTACTGAGTCCAAGCATTTTCCTCAGTCTTCCCATATGCATATGATACAAGGGCACTAACAGCAGAACTGCAGAAAACTTTTAAGCAGGGAAGATGAACCAGCAGGAATCTTTGAGCAGGCGAAATTCGTCCCATATACTGACCCGGATACTTGGGTGCGAAGACCTACTGCCCATCTTGGTCATTGACCTTTTGGGTAGCCCCAGATTTTGTCGATAGCTCTTCGGTTTCTGTATTTAAGCTACTGAACTACCTTTTGGATTACCTTATCATCTTGACATGACACATTTATATTGATCTCTTTTCCTACTTTAAAACAATTGCAAAATTTAAAAAAGGGGGGGCAAAACTGCGACCCTCATTGGGGACATTTTACATGACGTTTCTGCAATATACTACACACCCAAGATGACTTTTATCTTCAGAAACAAAGCAGTAATAGTAAGCTAAATGATAAGAACATTTTCAACAGATATCTCACTCCATTTGCAAGAGGTGACTTCAGAGATGCTATCTAGGCTTCATCGCTCGCTCACAGTTCTCGTTTGGTGAGTGATTTCTTGCAGAGGATGGAGCAACCATCTTTGGGCCCTGATAGTAATCCTACTGAGCATTTGTGGTATGAATTGGATTGTGCAATTCAGAGGAGAAACAACCCTCTAATAACCAGAACCAACCCCGCTTAGCTATTTAGGAGGAATGGGGCAATTTTTTACAAAACAAAACAGAAAACTTCCTAAACATCGCAATTCTGCCACCATTAAAGAAAAAAAACTATTTTACTCATTCCGATTACGATAATTGTTCAATTTAATAATTAATCGCGAACTTATCTTAGTGTCTTTACAATTAAACCTTTAAAATAAGTCACGAAGAACGTTTCACTTAAATCACAAAATGAGAATCTTAAATACCCAGCATAGTGGTAATATCTTGTATCTACTTCTGTTATCAGTAGCTACTACCCTTCATTTTGAAATCTTAAAATCTTAATCTTGTAATGTGGAGGAAAAATCCAATTTGTTGCCTTTGTCATATACTTTCTCTTTACCTTTTTGTTGTCCTCATGACATCTTCATATTACATTTTGTCAGTTCTTGAATATCCTGGCAAAATTTTACTGTGTCTGAATCGTCTTTGTATCCATCCTCCACAACATCAAAATCTTTCTTCTCATCAATCAAACATTTTTTTCAATCTATAGTTAAGTAATTTTCGCTTAAAAATCATAACCATCCAATTCCATTGGTTCTTCAAAAATCCCTCATTATTTTAAATAATCTGTAATGACCTCTTCATCTCCACCATGTTTCTTTTCACACGTTCATCAACTTTCACCGCCATTAACTCCGCCATCATCATAATCAGTCTTCTTTTTTCTTTATCTTCCGTTCATTTTCAATCATTCTGTCCTTATTAAATCTATTTCCACCATTTTCATCATCTACAGATGTACAGAACGGTTCTCTCCCAAACTCAATCACATAACTGGTTCACATGAGTCATTTGCTCATCATCAGTCCTCTTTATTTTTTCTTCCATTTTCCCGACTTATTACCTCCTGACATTTATTGATTTAATTCACTACAGTTCTTAACAGGGGTCTCTTTTTGTTGCACTGAAGGCCTTCACAGCCATTTTTTCTCATCTGTGAGTCAATTGTCTTCATATGCAAAGCTCTCTTTAACATCCTCATCAAAGATATTTTCTGATTTTAAAGGTCCTTTTATATTTTATATATTATATTTGCAAAATCTCAATTCGTCCATCTTAAATACAAACTACAAACCTAGGAGCTTAATCAAATCATGGAATGTTGTTTGATTAAACCTAGGATTATCAGGAGTTATGACTGACCAGAAATGAAGTATTGACTCTCTGTGAACAGTGGGCAGAATAAGTGTGAAAAATTATGTAAAGAAATAGCGTCTTGTAAAATAAGTAATAAAATGATATCCTCTATGAACCCACTGAAAAGGTGATTCCATAGTTTCTTTATTTATGGAAAAACCTCTACATGCATGTATATTGGATACATCAGCTGACAAACTTACACAGCAGTAATTATATGTCAATCACTTCAGACAAGGACGAAATTTCATTGTTCACAACGGTATATCAAACGATAATTAGCCATTGTATTTTCACCCTTGGTGGCACTTGATTCACATGTGGTATTCCTACATACTGCGCATTCATTCAGCACTTTTCATACTTTGGCATAAGTGAAATGGGAAATAAATCTGAGATCATTGTCGTGAAACAATTAAAACAACGGCGAGGTGGACCCGGGTTTTTCTGTGGGTGGTATCCCATCAAAAGAGACACTTTGAAGGATTTGTTATCTTCAGCTTCAAATTCGTGACAGATTTTCTAATGTTCAAACCCTCATCATGACGTAATTCTATCAAATTACTTTTTTCGAGCAGACGATATTTCGATAAATCGGTATCACTGAATCACTTTAATATTACGTTATAGCAATGAGCAGCAACAAATTATTTTTCATAGGCACATAAAGTTTTCTATTTTGCAAAGTTACCGTAGCTTTAAAAGTTTGATTCTTTGTACATTGTTGTTGTATTTTAAAGCTATAGACCCTACATATGCAATTAATATACGGTAATTTGTTTTTCCGCGTGTGCAAATGTCCCTCTGTCTGCATATTATGCGAATATACTTATTTTTCCCTATTCGGACCTTTAAAACGATAAAACGAATCAGTGTCTGGTGTCGATATTTTCTTCTGAAATGTACAGGAATGCATGGCGGTCTAAACATTCATATTTAGAAGTCAACCATTTAATTATATAATAGAAAATGGCATAAAACACCGAACCCAAGTGCAGATGATGATTCCTGCGTAGGAGAAAATTACGTTTTTTTTTTCAAGGAAAATTCGATCTGAAGAAAAAATCTTTGAAATGATATCTATTACATTTGACATAAAAAGGAAAACTGACTTTCAGGATTTGGCCAGTACTTTATATTGATACATCAAATTGAATCTTATTCACAACAGCGTATTTATATAATTGTATGCTGTATGTTTCAGTAACTAGCATTTCTTGTACCAATTTGCTAATTAGTTCGTGAGCTCGTGGCAACCCACTCCTTGACAGGTCAATACTAGGAACTCACCGTGATTTGATCCCTTTGTGAGTTGAAGTTCATAACTCAACTCCTCGCAGTGATTCCTCTACAGGATATTAAACACGAATGAGTAAATAGACAATATGACCTAATATGCCAGTAGATGTACATCTGGGAAAAAGATATTTGAAAGAGTGTGTGTTTTTTGGTATTAGTTTATACAGGACCATGCATATATATACGTGTTCCGACATAAGTTAATTTCCATGGTCTCGTTATTAAACCATTGTGCCGTCATTTGGCCAAGATTTGGTTGGCTACAATCGTTTGTTACTAATTTTTTATTATATTATACAGTTTTTAACAAAGAAGAGCAGTAGTTCCATTCCTCGAAGTGATAAGCTTTCATTTGTCCTTCTGCTCAATCTTTATTATGAAGAAATACACGCACAGAGAAAAATTCCCTTCAAGACATGTTCGTCAGCATCCAAATGAACTTAAAGGCGAGGAACTCTTTTACACCATAAAACAACTTTTTACTTTCAAATTTAGGAAGATTTATCAAAATAATTTTATATTCTGTGCACACCTATTCGTTTATTTTTTATTGCTTTGTTATCTCTCTCTATACCTATATAGAGATTATGAGAACAAACAATCTTGTATCTCGAATCCGCCTAAATACATAGGTCCTGCTCATGATTATTTGCCACGAGAATTGTCCTAGATCTTTTATCCCCCATATGGTATCCGACTGTATTTATCATTTCTTTTTTTTTTTCTGATTAGGTAGCAATGAGTCATCTTCTTGTTTACCTTTTATCAATGCCCAAATTTCAAAACTATCTCGAGAGCTTTCATCGGCAACCAAGTATTTCATGAATTATAGGAATGTCTCAGAACAAGTTCTTATAAGAAACTTTTCCAATGCAATCAATTAATATACGGTAAGTTGTTGTTTTATACATACATTCATGTTATGTCAGCTCGTGCAGTGACAATAGTTTACTTAGGTGGAAGATAAGAGTATTCTTTAAAATGCCAATGTATGGTGTTTATCTAAGAAACGCAAAAACAAAAAGAAGAAAAAATTGTACAGAAAGAATTTGCAAACACGTGTAACTGATGATAAAAATACTCACCGTTTATGATTAAATAAACTGAAAAGCAAAGGTACACTTCTATTTTGGTCCCCAAAATGGACTGCACATCTGTTCTGTTATATTATATATAAAGCTGGCAAGGTGTGTGTTGATATATTAATCCAGGCAAAGGCATGACACTCCTGCACACACGAATGAACCTCTAAGATAGCTTTCACCAATCCCTTTTCGAGCTGCTCTCGGTGACCAAGTAATAAATCATTTCTTATCTTTTTCCTGTTGGCTCCTTCAAATTCAGAAATTTCGTTGCATTTTTTTTTTTTTTTTTTTTTTTTTTTTTTTTTTTTTTTTTTTGCAGCGGCGTTTTCTCTGCTGTGCATCCCTCAGAAACCCACATACTATTGGCTAGCTACATATCATAAAATGGTTGTATTTTTACACTTGAATACCGAAACATTTACTTTCAGTTTTGAGTTTCATGGTCAATATTTTTCAGAATGTTGTATTTCCTCTCTCATATACATATATTTACTTTAGAGATTTCAATATCAGTGCCTTTGACTTCCTTTTTACTTGAGAGCCGACTTAAATGCCGTTACCTAAACTGATCAGGGATGATTTTTTTTTTTTTTGTTTTTTATTTTCGTTCGTTCTCAATTGCAACATTCAGACCTGTCCCCCTTTTATTAGTATTTAATTGAAAAGAAAGACTAAGTGATGTTAGGTTTTAGATTGTTCAAGTAAAAAAAAACAATCTAATGTGACGTCTTTCACTTTTCTGTGTCTAGAAAATATTATTAACAATTATAAGTCTAATCAGCTATTCTGTGGTCGTACATTCAAAACTCAACACAGCAAAATTGACACTTCATGTAAATAAGCGCTCCTGAAGCTTAAGTCATTTCCTGCTCAGAATCAAGTTACTGAATTTGATGGCTATTTCAACAGAATGCTTCAGGCTTTCAATTTACTCAGTTTTGCTATTTATAAGATTCGTGAAAAGATTTTAAAAAAAGAAAAATAATTACAGGTATGTTGATATAAAATATATGTAAAGATTAATTTTTTCCACTGGTGGAAATGAATTTCATCTCACATCTCTCTTGAGAATATATTACGTTGTGAGCATGTAGTCCACATGACCTGTTGAAGAGATAAGCGTTGTAACATTGTATTTGACAAAGCATAATTATTCCCTATCTGGAATTGCCAATCGTTTCCCTCTCTGTCTGTCTCTCTCTCTCTCTCTCTCTCTCTCTCTCTCTCTCTCTCTTGTATGGTCATATGCTCTTATTCATCGTTAAAAGAAGGTATTTATATATACGACCGACAGTTACAATCACGTGCTGATTGTACGCTGTGATCAACGTTGGGGTAAGGCTTAGTTGTCTTACGTCAGCTGAAGTTTTAACTCAAATTAAAGGGCAAGGTAGGTATGACTGAATTTCCAATGTCTACACTTTAACAGAAAATTGTTCCAGTCCATGACATCGACGTGTGTGATTTGTAAAAGGACTGTTCTTTAAAGATAAATGCCAGCTCATCCATTACGTCTCTCCCATTTAGCAAGATTGTGGTAACAGGACTTACGAGATATTTTCTTTCGCCCAGCAAGATGCAACTAACACAATAGCAATGACTTCGTGGAGAAATCCCTTCAGAGCTAAAATCTGGTAGTGTTGTAAACACCCGACAAGATAAATAGACCCGCTTGTCGATGCATGCTTCATGAATATACAAAAAGATTTTTAAATCAGCTTAAGCTACCAAATTTGAACAGCGTAGGTGTAAAGTCGACCTAATGGTATTGGTCTTGAGAGCGTTTTGTAAACGACTGTTCCACAATACATGTAAATAAAGTGTACATAGACCTACCCTAATGGGCTGCTGTCACCACTGCGATTGACAATATTAGTAAGTTTTTGGGGGCACAGTTTAAAGATCGAAAAATAGGGAAAAGTCCCATTTATTATGCCTTAGTCGGCCATAATTCTTTAGTAGCAGTTCTTTGTAAGACAAATTTTGGTAGGGTTTCCGATGTTTTTATTTTTATTTTTTTATTTTTTATTTTTTTATTATTATTATTATTTTTATGCCGACTGTCAACTTCATCTTCTCCGTTCATTGAAAACAATTTCTTAGGAGACTTTTATTCGGCCCGAGTGAAAAGTTTTATGTTATCTGGAACGTTGGTTTTATTCTAGTGATAAATCAAGTTAAAATGCCTAAACATAGCTTTTCAAAATGACATCATTGTAAGCAATTGGACAATAACTTTGTTTACATATATAAGTTTGGGTTTACGACAAAATAATTAGCTTAACGCGTCAAATGAATTCCACAACTTCTTTGCAACAGATAATTGGTCTAGGAAACCTAAACGTTAAGAGAAATAAAAACGCCACAAGCATGATTGAAATAAATGTCTGGTTTATGGTGTGGGCGTTATAAGATTGGTAAATGCTCTTAGAAAATCAGGTGTCTTGCAATGGCAGGATTCTCTCGAGTGAGGCATGTAATTCAGATATGCTGACAAGATATGCTCGGATCACTGAAGGATCAGGCAACGAACCCCGCAAAGTGAAATGTGTTTCGTGGTCGATAACAGAAAATCGGAGTCAGTTAGCGGACGTGGTACCCAAGAATTGTTACTGGTATTCTTATGCTCTCTGTCTATTTCCATTCAAGGAGATTATTTACCTCAGTAAACTTGAACTCTTCGCTTATTCAAAAGCGAGTTACACGCACTGGTAACGTGCAACTAGGTCGCCAATTACGTGAAATCTGAACAAGATCGTAAAGGGTCATGTCTGAACACGGTAATTTAGATCTATATATGTCGTCTCATTCATTTCTAATATTTTCTTGGAAAAATCATAAATAGATTTCTGAAGAGTATGAAGTTTCTCCACCCCGGAAACCGTCTGCAGCTATTCTGTAACTGTTCTACTTTACGCATCATGTGAAATGTAAAATAGCGACATTGTGATTAGATTAAGGGGTCATGTTTGGCTTTGATTAGGTATCCGGTATGCATGACTTTCACCTGTTTTGGATTCAGATTGTATTGAGTAATTTAATCAGAAAACGGAAACATCACATTTCTACCCGAGATACACGCTTTTAGGATCTTGCGAGTTTTCTCGTTACGGAATAGGTCGGGATGTAATTTTCTTCACAGCCTGCTTCAGCAATGTAGGGTAAATAAGTCCCCAATGTTAAGTATGCCTTCTACATAGGTAGGCGCATACGTTTCTATTTTCTGGGCTAATATTCCGGTATGTCCGTGATTTACGGTCGGCCATGTTGGCGCCTTGCAATCGCAGAATAGCGGAAACCTTCCATCTCGACGTATTTTTTAAAGTCAAGGCATGACCATTGGATTCTTTCTTAAAGAACAAGATTCAGATTTCATAAACCACGCTTTCATTGAAAAGTCTTGGCGCTCTGTGGTGATCCTTAATTATATTGTTCAAATGAAATAAGACAACATGTAATGAAACGTATGGTATATATTACACATAACAGCAACGGTATATTGGAGATGCTGCAATGACATATTTTGTGAAACGCATCGCTTACGGCATAATGACTTTATTGGATTTATTTTTATTTTTGTAATATATTCTGATGACGAGTTTTCAGAATTTTTCGTGCAAGAAATACTTATTTTTGTTTCGGTTCTCCGAAATCCATTTCAATTTTGTATTAGACAAAAGCAATCGGCATGATGTCATGGGTTTGTCTTAGGTGACGGTCACCCAAGGTCACATATATTCATTTAAATGCAAGGATATTATTTACAACATTTTTGTTTTTTTTTTATTCCCCAGGGCGGTTGAAGCCATGGATCGCATTTAAATGTTATCATATTCACCTTTCAAAGAGCCTTCTGCTTATATACCGTTAATATTTACCAGTCCGGTAAAATGTATTTGACATTAAAAAGGCTTAAGATGAAGGAGAGCGTTTGTGTTAATGGCTTGTAGATAAAATGTGTAAAAATATAAGATTTTTTTATGAATTTCTAAAAGCATTTATATGCCACGATCTCCTTTTGATCAAAAACTCTCTTCAAAACATCTTTAAGTGGCCTACAAAAACCGTTCTCAAGTGTTATGCACAGTTATCTGCTTAAGATGACCTTCTATCGATCAGTACTCTATCAATAGCTCTTTTCCTCCAGGAGTGTTAAAACACCTTAACCCTATTATATACATTGAGCCTTGGGATGCAAGAGGAGTCAGTTAGTATGATACAAAGGGCAGTGAATGACATTGTACTTCGTTTCCTATGACACAAAAATGTTATGATCTGACATCATTATTTTCATAATGTCATATGATTTAAACAAAAGTTGTCGTCCAGTAAAATGCGCATCTGTCGTTTCCAATGTGTTAACTTTTCTGTATATTGCAAGAAAAAATGCTTGGTCATATTAGAACAGCAATATTTCTTTTATTATGGAACAGGAATCTCGTGGTTACTTCAAAACAAAACTCAAGATATCCTGATTCCGTTCAAAAATTGAGGTCTGAAGCTTTGCTATAAAATGGTTTGAAAGACAACACCACAGCGTCATCTGGAAACTTCACAAGAAATATTGAATAGATATACGATCTAGGAACACACGAGCAATCAATCCTTTCCTGTGGGTTTAATAAAGATGCATCGGGTCGTCTTATTGGCGATAGAGAATCTTTATTTTGGAACGCTCCGCGGCCTCCAGCAGGCTGATAGTTAATATACAACAGCAGTTGCTGACATTTGAAAAGTTTTTATTACTGATAGAAAACGTTTGTAGACTTACTTATTTAACAATATCAAATGCTTCTCATTGCTTTGAATGGTAAAACAGGTGTTTAACTCAGATTTCTACACTTTCTTTTGTATGCAAAATATCATCACTTAAACACTCCATCATATTTTACCTAATGTGATAGATTAGATAGATTTTCACATTTCTTTTGTTTACATTTGACATTTAATGGATTTAATGGGTAAATATATCACAGTCTTTGAGTACGAGAGTGATCGATAGGCTCGAAAGCCCGCTTCTGTCTGACATGAAGAAAGAAGCAAGTTGAATTCTAACTAAAAACATTTCAAAGAAAAACAATCAATTCTTACAGCAAATTGGCTACTTCAAGAGACCTAGTTCATTCATCCTGACATACTCTCACTTCAGATGCACTGGAAAACACGTACTGTTTGAATATTTCATAGATATCTTATATATTATTAACCTTTTGCGTTGGTTTAAGAAGTTAATTACATGGAATTGCTGTCTGATCCTGTGCATCAGTTTGCCTTCTAGTGCCTTCCCGTATGCTCACAACACGTTAATTTTAGGCTGTTTCAATCATTATAAAATGTGAACACATGAACACGTTAGAGCTCATTACCTCGGCTTATAGATTTATCATAACTCTTGGTTATGACAAGTGTAAAGATTTAGCTGTGCCTGCACGTTAAAACACAATCTGCACCGGTCTACGACTTATGGAGTTTTTGCTAGGAAGAAATTGATTTTTTTTTTTTTTTGAGGTAAATCGTGTAAAATAATTGTCCATTTATTCGAGCCCTAGTGACATAATCCATTCATTTATTCTCTTCTCTTTTAATTTCTTGCTTACTTTTGTGTCAATGCCATGCTTTTCAAGGGCATGCCTCAGTTCTATCATTTCTGTGCCTTTGCTATCGTCACTGGAAATGTCATCGTCGCAGTCATAAGACGTTTTTGCCTTTTTTAACCATGCATCACCAATATACCTGTAAACAGCGGTAATTTCACATCTTTTCTCAGGTTTGGTATCCAGCATTTTTCTGAAGAGTCTCATAAGGCGTGGAGTAAAACGCCGCCATTGAGATGGCGTTGGTCCAATTTTACGCTTTTGCCACTGTGCGAATTCCACAAAATATGGATCTCCAACGTCAGCATTTTCCCATGGAAAATTGCCCGTCAAAATAGTAAATAAGAGTACTGCACATCCCCACACGTCTGCACTTTTTTCTACATAGAATCCCTCGTTTTTTACCGCCTCACATATTTCTGGAGGTGTGTAAGGTATGCTGCCACTTATTTTCCTTACCAGCGTACCTCGCTTTCTGGTCATTCCAAAATCCATTAGTTTCACCTTGGTACATTCTCTGTCAAAAAGGAGAACATTTTCTGGCTTTATGTCTCTATGCACCAAGTGTTTACTATGCATGAAGTCTAAGGCAGAGGCTACCTGCTTTATGATACATTTTCCACGTTTTTCATCAAGGCCTATTTGTGGGGGTATCGTTTCAAACAGGTCTCCTAGCGGGGCATGTTCTAAGGCAAACATGTATGATGTCTCAGTCTCGAAAGCGACGTCGAACGTGTTGACTATTGCACAATGAGGAGATAGGAAATATCCATATGTGAACTCTCTTTGAAAATCTCTAAATTTGGTTCCCTTTTTTAATAAGTTTTTCAATGCAACGACAGTGTCTGTTGTCTTGCAGCGGGCAAGCATCACATTGCCATATGTTCCGCTGCCAAGTGTTTTAACGATGTCATAATGCTCACTGAGGTTGATCAACGGCAGAGAATCTGAAACGCTGCTTCTTGGAGACGAGGAAGGGTCTTTTGGTGGATCCATGTTGTTATGGTAGAAAAGTCGCTGCTTGGATCTATGGATGAACCCCTTACACTTCTCAATATGGTCGTTTTGACTTCTCGCAGTCGGCATCGGGATTTGGTCGTTTACCCGCTTTTTTTTCTTGAAAAGATTATTTTCACAGCAGTCTGAAAATACGATTAAAGACCATTAAGATAAATGAGGTTTTTGCAATATTATTCTGAGAATTTTATAAACACTGCCTAATCGATAGCAACACATTGCGGATTACTGCTGATAAAGAATAAGACGCTGTGCTATAGACGTCGGTTCAGGTAACTAAAAAACATGAACATTTCCCAGGTAAATAAGCTAGTTTCAGGTTCACTTGACTGAAAGCTGCACTGGTATATTATGCGTTGCCCTAGAAATTGCAGAATAACATACATGAAAAATATTACAAGGTAGGCTATGCAGATCAATAGAACTGTACTTTATAAACTGGTACTGTACTTATAATCCAAGATGTGTGAGTCAAGTGCGTGTGTTTGTTAATGAGAGAGAGAGAGAGAGAGAGAGAGATCCAAAAACAGTGGTCCAGACAACAGAATCTCAGTCATTTTGACGATAAATATGTAGATCTAGCATAAAATGCTACTCTTAAATGCCGAAGGACGTTTTTCGGTGATTGAACGTTTTCCCCTCACAAACACCACAAGCCCCATGTGCTTAATAGATTTGAAATAGATTCTGCCACAGATGAATAATGCCAAGTGATATTCGAGAATAGCAAATGCGGGATAGGAAACATATAAATTGCCTCGGACAATCTGTGCAAGCAAAGGCACTGAATATATTGCTGACTAGAATTCTACCAGCATTAATCTAGGGTTAATCAGGAAACTGAAAGTATCCGTGTGGCAACATGTGAAGTTCACCTTGATAATTTCTATGAAGCATCACCATGCTTTTCGCACCGTATCGCAGCATAACAGCGAATTTAATAGTGGTATAGTGAAGAACCCTACGAAGAGATAACAATTCAGTTTCTCCCAATGCCGGCAGTCGTTCTGAGAAACTAAAACAAACTTGATCTATTCAAAGCAATAAAAACGATGTTTCTTCCTTATTTTCTCGATTTATAACATGGTAGATTGATCGCGTTTCTGATAAGCATAGGTCTACTAATGGTATCTAAAAAACATGCTGCGTGGCTTCAGTAGATTACACATACAAAATCGCAAAGGCATGGAAACACTGAGACATGATACAGAACACAAACAAACACAAACATATACATATGCACACACTCACGAACGCACACGCATACATACTCGCAAACACACACAGACGCAAACAAACGGACAGACACGCCTGAACAGAGAAACAATTATCGAGTGAAGCTAAAGAAAGACGATCGTACCTGTGTCCTAATAGCGATACATCAGAAACAGTAGAACGTCCACCATTTAAGAATGTCGATCAGGATAGTGAGGAGAGTGAGCAGTTAATGAACCTCTGAAAACCAAACTGCACTGTGTATATGACCTACACTCGACACCTTCGTGTGTTTTCTCTCTCTAGTATATGTGAATTCATGAAACAAGTCTCATGCTGATGGGTATTTATAGCAACCACATCACTGTGACGTCAATATATAAGCTGTCTAAGCCAATCAAGGTCGACTAGGAACAACGACTCTGACGAAGAAAGCCAATGGAATTAAAGACTGGGTCAAAGAAGTTTGGCGTAGTGGCTTGCGCGGGCACTTCTATCTCTCCTGAAAATGCATTGCAACACAAGCTTTTTAAGCGTCCTACAGATCTTCGGACTCTGGAGTAAAATAAAACTGATGTTAGCGTTTTTAGAATCAACATGCAGTTATGAACATGTGCTTGTTTTGTATGGTTATCAATATTCTTTTATATGAAGAAAATAGAAGAATAAATTTCTGTCATTCCACCCGCACTTACCGTTTGTGATCCAAAGGCTCGTGTTATACCATTTCATCTGCCTTCCAACGTATACTTAACTAGCTGAAACTCACAATAATTATGACAGGTGAGCATGTCTTTCCGTTATCTTCTGTGGAACCCCCCTTCGCCCTTGCCCCCCTCCCCCCCCCCGAAAAAAAAACGGTACACGCGTGGAAGGAGACTAAATAATATAAGATACGTGAGTCTTTCATATTACAGTAAAATTGCCTAAAAGTAACAAATGGAAGACTGTTTTACCTCGCGATTTATTGAAAGTGAGGGCCAACTTCGTGTTCTTTCAAAGATATTTCATTAACATGTTTAATCAGGCAAGAAAAGCCTACCCCACACCAAACCTGATAGAGCATATTAACGACCTGAATATTGGGACAGCATTCTTGGCAAGCAACTCGCCTGAGCAACGCTCATGTTTTTCACAGGCATGTCAATAACGTATTACAAAATAACAAAGCGTTGCTATAGGAAAATCAATTTAAATTGAAAGCCTTGCCAAAGATATAAAAATGATTTACAAGAAATATATTGTATATTGGAAAAGGTTAAAACCTTGATTGTGACTTCAGCATATGAGCTGTGAAAACAGGCAACTAAAGTTGAAACCGATTCTCAGACTACCCATGCTGATTGATTAATTTCGGAAGGGCATTGACTACTAGTCTGGTTGTTTTTAATGAGAAAAAGATCTTACAAATAGGCGTAGAAGGCCAAACCTCAGTATGCTGATCTCGTCAGCACTAACGCAAATACACAGTTTGTTGATATTTTTAGTATTATCATCATTGTAATTATATTTTTAATTTCCCCAGAAAAATACGTCATGCCATCTGATTAAAACAAACCTGTGACACCCGAGAGAGAAAAAAAAAGATTTTTACGCGTTTTGGATTGCACATCATCCCCAGCGCCGCCTACTTTTAACAACACATATCTTTGATATGCGTGAGCGTTTTTAATTGTATTGCATGTCACAGTAGATTGAACGCATGACGAGTTTCACGAAATTAGCACAAAGTGGAGAAAATACTACAACTGGAATCAATATGAAGACATAAGATGTCGTCCCAGAAGACTTTAAAAGGTCATCGCTTTAATAATTTTTTTCAGTTTAACGAATAGCTCCCGAGTTGTCAAGAGAGGTGACTGATTTGTAGGGCTGTGTAGACACAATTTGAAATATTTAGACTGGATTTTGATAGAATTGATTTAATGCATTTAACCGCCCAGATGTACATCATAAAAAGCATATTAAGGTATATAATACGCATTGATTGTTTTAATTGGATTTTGATTCCTTATATACAAAAGATGGTAAGGGACCTACCAATTAAGCGTAATTAAAAAGAACTTCAGAAAAAAAGATGATATCAAATCTCACATTTCTGCATCTTAAAGGCATCTTAATATAAAGAAAACATTACAAAATCCACACCGTCCTGGGAGAACACGATGCAAGACGCCCTTAATCCACCCCTGGAAACACAACAAACATGTTGGCCTTTCCATTTCTAAGCTAATTTGAACATCAGAAAGAAATGGAAAAAATCACACCCCTCACTGGTCAGTTTTCCTATCGACAGTAGGCGGTCCATTGTTTATCTATTTTGAGCGTTAATATCAAAATGCAAGTAGCCATAAATAGCATTAATACCCTATTTGAGCTGTCTGTGACATCTAATTTTCTAGCTATGAGATAACGTCATTTCCTATCACCTTCCGCGTCAGTGTCCTTTACAGTACTTGTATGCCTTCAAATTGTGCATTGCGTGTGTAGAGATTGCTGCCTGTTTGAGCAATTTTAAAATTTCTCCGCTGAGAACATTATAACATTTAACGAAAATTTGTCTCACCGAAGTTATGTTGGCTGGAAGCGTTAAAGCACTCGTTACGTGATTATTGAAAATAACAACAACACAAAGGTATCCAAAAAACATACACTGTTTTAGCTGGCACTTGCAATTTGTAACCTCCTCCTTACACACACAAATATGCATCGCATGCACAAAACACACAAGCACATTAGGAATTGATTATATTTTAATGCTCTTAGTGACCATTATCTGAAGGGCGTCGAAAGGTTATGCTGTTTCTCATAAAAAGCGCAATTATTGAAATGTCAACTTAATAATTAATTTCGTACTTCCTTCCATTATGACTAATTCATTGTTGAAAATGAACATTAAGAAGAAAGACGTTTCGTATCTTTGTTTTTTTATTGTCAAAATGTATTCTTATTATGCAATAGCCCTGTTGTTTTGTCTAGTTCTTCCTTTTCCATAGCTCATCACAAGACTTTGTTTAATTAGCTATCAATACTTACTAGTCGATTATCATTTGATAATATTTATAACAGATCAGACTGACATTCATATTCATGACGTCAATCCCATGACATCAACCTGCCATTGGCCCTGGCAATACAAAAATAGCACGCAATTATACTTGAACGGGGATAAAAAGTGAAATAATTGCCGGTGGATAGAGTCGCAAAAACTTATTCCTCTGATTCCTATTGCTTTAGATCGTGTAATGGTTGGCCGAATTATACTGTAGGTACATTGATGCAAAATAACATTTGTAACCCTAAATTTTTCGAATCAAATTTGCATTAAAATCTAGCCTTGCGAACTTATTTAAAACCCATGTATATTCTTAATTGTATGTACTGGTCTGGCTTATGGCATAAGTTCGTTTACAATCTTCTGGACGTTGTGTAGCGCCCTTATCGAAACTGCTTTGTATTAACGACTGAATAGCTATCACTTGTTAAGAAAAGAACTTCATTACACATCCATCAATATTCAATAATAACAAAACCATAAGGACCCATACTAAATCAAATCTAACTTATCATCTTTGCATACTATTAAATGTAGATTCTGATAGGTCAACCAATACGAAGAGATTTGTATTATATCAAATATCAAATGTTCATCATTGGGTCGCCTTAGTTTGTAATTTTCAAAGGATTTATCTGTAAGTAACTCCAAGATACGGTAGTAACATTTTAAGATCGTTTTATCCTGACATCGATTTCCGTCGTAAGTAAGACCATCAAGAATCCATCGTAGTTATTACCACTGACAAAACGTATCGTCCTTAATGCTGATTAAGCAACGTCTGATAAGCTTTGGGTTATTAACCTACGATAAATTTGATATGTTGATTAGGATTTGTTCTTGGACAACATTCCCCGTCGCTGAACAGAATTCGAAGAAACATCGACAGAACGCAGAAGGTCAGGAAATTCGTCTGTCTTCGATGTGTGAATGTCGCGTTTGCGTGACGTCGGTAGGGACAATGACTCTAATGAATTTCCATCTGGAAACCATTTTAAATATAACAGAAACGCCGTAACCCAACTGCAGATAGAAAGTTGAAGGTCAGGTCCCACAGCAAAAGTATGCTTTCATTAGGCTAATATGTGCATTCTTCTGTAGCTTTAAAGTTATTTCGTCAGGAAAGACCGTTGTGCTTCATAAAGAATACATTATTAAATTCTGACCGTTCTTCGGTAGACGCTGCAAGACGGCCTTAATTCACTCTCGATGCGCGGTAAACTGAAGAATCATTGAATATAGCTAACAACGTATATCATTATAACTTCTCGATCTAATTCTACCTAACACATAGGCTAAGGTGTTTGTGTCCATGATTTCTATTACTTACCATCAACCCGTGAGTGGCTGAATTTACTGTACATGTTGGAATGATATCTTCACTCAAACTATTATTTTGGTAAGTTGGTCTAACTAAAAGGACTGGTTACTTTCACGAAACTGTTCACGTCAGAAAAATTTAGTCCGAAAGGAAATGCGTGTATTCCGTTATCTATGTCCCTAAAATAATTGTATTACATGTGTATGTTCTTGTCTCTATAAATAACATAATGTACAGGTTGAAGACTTTGTAATTTCCTATATGACGTCATTCATGAGGGGAAACGACTTTATTATTAGCCGTAGATGTCGTAACTGTGTCAGATAATTGCAAACACCATCCCAATTTTCTTGCATTTGTAAAACGAATTTCTGCGTTGAATATTTTCTCTTTCTTAGCATCATCTGTAATTAGAAACACAAATGGCGACTTTTTCTGGAACCAAAATAAAGCTTTTACATTAAAATATGATTATTCGAATCAGTTAGTTTAAATATGCTTCGCTAAATACAATGAAACTTTGCACCGGGGGACTAATAACGACCGGAAACGGTAATGAATATCTGTTGGATTGGATTTGATCTGGATACTTGTTTTTAAGATAAATAGATTAATAAACATACAAATTAATGAAGTAAATTTATTTTTTAAAAAGTAATAAGAGCCGACATTGGACATTTAGGAAGAAATATCGAAAGTGCGCTCAAAATGTGCATCCTAGATTTTTCGAGCCAAAAAATCGCTCCTTATGACATATACGGAATGCATTCTGTAACAGAATAACTTAAATTGTTTTTTATTCCAAGACTACTGTGCATATCGTGCATATGTGGTGTAAAAGGTAATATTAACCATTCAACACCTACCTTGTATCTCGTGATAGACAACAGTGGAAGACCTTTGTTGGTAGCCTGGACGCCAGACGGTGTAAAAAGAATTGATGATAGTGGTGTAAAAGGTAACGTTGACCATCAACTAAATTCAATTAAGAATGGTTTACAGATCAAACAAGTAGATTTTTAGATATGCACATGTACATGTATACCTACCATTATCGTGGACAGTAAGGAAGATCTGTAACTCTTAAAAAACCTTAAACTACCTGTAACATGCCAATAGACAGTCCAATTCTTCAAAGCACATTAAACTGTGATTTTACAGAGTATATGTAGACACGCAGAAAGCGTCTCAATTTTTCGAAATTGAAAGACGAAGAAGGCTTTCTTGATGGCACCAATATATGTTTGTTAATAAAAGGCTAGAGGATACGGTGAGTAGTTAGAGTAATAAATGTACAGAAGGGAGACCAAATAAAAAAGAACTATAATACACGATGGAATACCTCCAATTTCAACACTGATTACTCATTCTTGAAGCAATTTCTAGGTCTCTGTCACTGTGCCAATCATCACAGATACTTAAGGTTAA